TCTGTAGAAAATTAACACTCTTTCTACAAATAGTTTGACTCATCTCTGTATTGGTTTTGATTTTGATAAATGTCTGTAGAATGACAACGAGCTGAAATTAGTAGCTAAAGATCGGCTTCCGTTGTTACTATAGGCCAGTCAGTCAAGCCAATTACTGTACCATAGAGTTGTCGCTACTTATTTGCACCAACATGCGAGACGGTGGTTACCTGATCATGCTGAGCCCTACGATCGTTGCACAGTATTCCAAACCTTAGGACTTTGACCCCACACTTGCTCCACATTACTTTCGCTTCATAGAAGTACTCAGTGAAGCGGGAGTTCTCGTTCTACAGGTCCGTCCCACCTTGAACACCTCTGGCCATCTCCATTAGGTTGCGGGCAGGCAGATACATCGCAAACACCTCGATAAGCCCACTCAACGCCCTGCAATCCTAGTCGTTGCCTCTCTTCATATCTCTCAATATGTCCCGAGCTCCTCCAAAACCTTCTCCTACCGACCCCTCCACCTCCCAGGGCCGGAATGAGTATATCCCCTCATATATCTCCAAGAAGCCATTCTATGTTGACAATAACCTCTCCGATGCCGACTACCTCGAGCATCAGCGCATCCAATCTCTCCCTCAAGACACCCTCTCCCAATCAAAATGGTACGACCGAGGCCGCAAGCTGGGCCCAGCGGCGACCAAATTCCGCAAAGGCGCCTGCGAGAACTGTGGCGCCATGACCCACAAGACCAAAGAATGTCTATCTCGACCGCGGAAACAGGGCGCCAAATGGACTGGGCGAGACATCCAAGCAGACGAGGTGGTGGAAGATGTGAATCTAGGCTGGGACGCAAAGCGCGACCGCTGGAATGGGTACGATGCTCGAGAATACTCTGCGGTGGTGAAGGAGTACGAAGAGCTTGAAGCTCTGAAGAAAGCTACGGCCAGCACGAAAGGGCAGGCACAAATCGAGAACGGCGAAGACGCGGAGGAGACCATCAATGATGGTGACCCAGAAATCGAGTCGGCCAAATACGCCGAAGAAACCGACATGGGCCGCAACCAGCCCACCTCAACCCGCAATCTGCGCATCCGCGAAGACACGGCCAAATATCTGCTGAACCTTGACCTGGAGTCTGCCAAATACGACCCCAAGACCCGATCCATGGCAGACGTGGGCACCAGCGCCAAAGCAGGAGGCGAAAATGCCGCGTCCAGCCTCCTAGCCGACGAGAACTTCATGCGCTCCTCCGGCGACGCCGCAGAGTTCGAGAAGGCGCAACGCTACGCGTGGGAAACGCAAGAGAAAAGCACAGCCGGAGCCAAGAAGCTGCATCTACAAGCCAACCCGACCGAAGGCGAGATACTACGCAAGAAGCAGACGGAAGCCGCGGAGAAGAAACGCGAATCGAGCCGCAAAGCCTTGCTAGAAAAGTACGGCGGGTCCGAACATCTCCAACCCGCCCCACCGTTCATCGCGGCAGAGAACGAGAGGTATGTCGAGTACGACGAGAGCGGTGGAATCAAAGGCGAGGTCAAGAAGATCGCCAGCTCGAAATACAAAGAGGACGTGCTCATCAACAACCATACTTCCGTCTGGGGCAGCTGGTGGTCGCGCTTCCAATGGGGGTACGCGTGCTGTCATTCGCTGGTCAAGAATAGCTATTGCACAGGCGAAGAGGGGAAGAAGGCGTTTGAGATGGCGGAGAGGTTGAAGGGTGGGGACTTGCTCCTCCTGGAAAATGGAAACCCGACGGCTGAAAGCAGAGGAGGAGGGAAAGAAGAAGACCAAGAAGCGCATCATGTGGACGGGAATGGGAAGCAAAGGGCAGGGAAGAACGGAGAAGAAGCAGAAGCAGAAGCGGAAGCAGCGACGGCAGAGCCGAAAACCACGGCCAAGAAGCGCACGCTGCAGGAGATGCGCGAGGGTGTCACGGAGGAGGAACTGGAGGCCTTCAAGCGGAACAGAGCTACGGCGGATGATCCGATGGCCAAGTTCCTGGGCAGGGATGAGCTGGTGCATTGAGCCTTTCTCTAGAGGGAGCATAGATCACTCACTGCGCTTGGATCGGCATGGGTGGCATGGGGTTTTTGTGCTGCGTTTTAGCGAATACCGTATAGAATAGTGGTCATATAGCATCGGTGTTGGAGCGATCACTTTCGAGGAATGAATGGGATGGCTCCGCGCCAGAATCGGGCCTATGGCGGTTGTGCACGAATTAGATGTACTTGAAGTCAGGAGAGGAGAACGCTCTGTATGTATGTATGTATATCTATGCTCTGGGCGAGTCTGATGCTAGTCGGCTGTACATTCTCCCGCTGCTCATCTAACTACTACATACAACCCAACAACGTAGAGCTTCGGACCACATCTCCCACACTTCCTCCAACCCATCCCATCCCCCCCTTCTTTCCTAGATCCTAATACGGCCTCGCCGCCTGCTGGCACGCCTTCAACTGCTCCATATACCAGCCACAGATAGTCATGTTGCCCTGATTCTCATCCATGCAGCGCGTGAAGTTCTTCACATCGGTCATGCAGGGCTGGTCCTGCGCACCGCCATAGCCACCCGCAGCAGTCTGGTTCTGGGCGCCGTAGAGACCGTTGTCCAGGTGGAGGTGGAGGTGGAGGTGGAGGTGGAGGTGGAGGTGGAGGTGGAGGTGGAGGTGGAGGTGGAGGTGGAGGTGGAGGTGGAGGTGGAGGTGGAGGTGGAGGTGGAGGTGGAGGTGGAGGTGGAGGTGGAGGTGGAGGTGGAGGTGGAGGTGGAGGTGGAGGTGGAGGTGGAGGTGGAGGTGGAAGTGGCAAAGAAGGCCATGTTGGCTGCCGCTAAGCGATGTTGGGCCAGGAGGGACTTACGCAGCAGTGCTGGCCATCTGACCGAATAGCCCGGGGCTTTGCTGAGCGCCGGCTTGAGGGGGCGCTTTCTGGGCAGGGGCAGTGGTCGACATCGGGCGAGACTGCTGCTGGTTGCCCATCGATCGAGGTGGAGGAGCAGGGGCGGTGGGACGGGATGGTGCGCTGGGAGCGCGAGCTGGGGCCGAGCGGCCTCCACGAGAGCGAGGCATTATGAATTGGAAGAGGGCTGTAGAGTACTGGTCTGAAGGAAAAGGGTAGTTGTAGATATGGTTGTGAAGCTGACGATGGATGTTGAGCTGTTAATGAAGGTGCAATAAAATGAGATCCGAGGTTGGTGGCTAAACAGAGAGAAAGAGAGAGAGAGAGAGAGCTCTCAAATCTTCACCATGCCACTTTCGGAAATGAACCAAGACAGCCCCCTGCCTGCATTTTTCCAATACCTCTACGGAGTACTATACTACTAGTACTGGTAGTAGTAGTACGAAGATATTCACCTGATCCGTAACCACAGTTCTAATTCACACTGTTAATCCTTCTAGGCATGCTACTGTGTAACACTGTATACATCATCAATTAACGAAGAGAGCAAGGCCCATTACAAACTGAGATCAGTGAGATGGAAATGATTTAGTGAAACAACTTTGATTGCTACAATTAATACAGCACAAGCACAAGTAAGCACAAACTCCCCTCTCCTTCATCAACGACAAAGCCAACCTTGACGACTGATCTTTGGCAGTGACAGGAATAACCCATTACGGTTCCTCATCGATATGGAATGAAGCCTGCCACACCTACTTCGTTTGCCATTCCATAAGACACACCACGTTTATGATGGTGGCGGTGGTGGAGGGTAGTCAGATGGCGGCGGCGGCGGAGCATCTCCTGAAGGTGGGGGAGGAGGCGGGGCATCACCCGGAGGTGGTGGTGGAGCTCCTCCATATTGCAGGAATGAGCTGAGCCCTGGAGGAGCTGCTGCTGGAGGCGCGCCATAGCCTTGATCATAGCCAGATCCTGGATAAGCTCCATACCCGTAAGCCGGTTGTCCACCTGGAGGAGCTGGCGGAGGCGGCTGCTGCTGTTGCCAGGGAGCAGCACCACCACCAGGAGGTCCACCGTAGCCTCCATAATTGTCATTCTCCCGGTTCCCGCTTGCCCATGGACGTGCTGATGTGCCTCCCTGATCCCGAGAGCCATAGTCGTCACGAGGACGCTCGTTGCGATCACGCTGCCATGGAGCTGCTCCACCCGTAGGTTGGCGTTGCCATGGCTTCAAATCGCGATCCCCACCATAGGACTCGCCCTGATCATACATGCCAGGCCCGGCTTCAATGCGTTGAGGTGGCATGTCGCCGTTCGCGGCAGCTGGGTTGCCAGAGAGCTCATTCATCAGTTGCTAGACAAGGTTAGCAAGGTTCAAGCGGAGCACATGAATGGGCTGTACAAACCTCATATTCCCTGTCAACAGCATCACCACCACCAAGACGTTTCTGTGGTGCACCGAATCCACCTGGGATCTCATTCCGGGAGTCCGTTCCTCGCTGTCTTTCGGTACAATCTCGAGCCATATGGCCAGCATTGCCACAGATACGACAAATGATGTTGGCCGTGAAATTGCGCTGCTCAGGACAGTCATATTTACGGTGGCCGATTTGCCCACCTAACGGAGTCAGTGTCACTCGCTGATGCTAAGAGGCCCAGGAAACTTACAGTTCTGGCAAGCTTGATTCTCATCGTCTCGGAGGGTACCGTTTAGAGCTGCGAGTTCGCGCAGTTGATTCCGTTTAAGTTCGTTCTGTCCCTCGGGGATCGAAGCTGCGGTCTCGATAACGTTATGGATGAGTTTTTTCGCCTTGTTGACCTTCTCCTCGGTGTCTGCCATGATCAAGCAATGTAAATCTTCTTCCTGGTTGCTAGTGTGAGCTGCGTCAGAACGACCCTTGCCTTCTTTGACAGATCCTTTGCCTCGAATGGCGATTTTAGCCTGGGATTCTGTCTCCATCTTTTTCAATGTATTGCCACGAGGTCCGATAAGTAGTCCAACTTGGGTGATGGGAAAAGCTAAGTGTTAGTCTTTGAGTCTCATGATGTAAGTAAACGCAGAAACAGCAGATAGTTAGTGTTAGTGCTGGGAGTGTAGCTGGACATGGCAGGTCGAACAAGCTGCGCGTTTGCCTGACAGAGGAACGAAACGAAAGAAGCAACCAAAAGAAACGGAGTTAGAGGGTTAGTTATCATACTGAAGTTAATCTCAGGGTAATCGTTGACCGGCACGTAGACCTTTTCCTGTGTCTTAGTAGGGCGTCTGTAATCAGAAGGTGGATGATAGTTCGGGATGATCTTCATCGCCTTCTCAATCTGCTTGTGACGCTCATCTTCGAGACGTTTACGATAGCGATACTCTCTGGTATTCACACGTCGGCCAAAGTTGTCGTACTGAGGCGGAGGCGAGGGCGATCTGTTCGAATGTTAGCAGCCCTGATTTGCGGTGGCGTGGAAGTGCTTACCTGTCTCCATCTGCTGGCACGACATCGTTGATTCGAAGCTTCTGGCTGATCTCCTCGATCCGAAGATGCAACGTGTAAGCTTCGAGCTGTTCAGTAGTCATGTTGGCCATGATCATTGTTGGAAGACCCATCAGGCCTGCTGCTTTGTTCTCTTGCGCATCTCCCCATCGATTGCGCTTCTTGCGCCGCTTCACGCCATCGACTACAGAATCTAGAAAACCATGTTAGTAGTATTTTGGGCCGAGTGACGAACTCGGACAAACCTCTGATTGGACTACGACCACGTTTGTAGCTCGAATCAGCCATTCCAGCAGACGAGGATGAGGGAGTGTAGCCACCATCCTGAGCGTCGCCATCATCTCCTCCGAATCGGCGCCGCGTGCCGAGAGGGATGTTGTTAGACCCAGTGATGCCTTGATTTCTCCAGGCCATTATTGGATGCTGTTGTGTGGTATAATTGTCTATTCCTGTCAGTTAGGATTGTGAAGTGTAAGTTAGAGAAAGAAGGCTGCACTCCTTAAGATCATGGTGAGCACTTTGCCAAGAAATACTAGGCTTGAATGGAGCTAGCGTGGAAGGTCCTGCACAGAACTCAAAATGCAGCCTGTCACATCTAGTGCTTCTCATTTTCACCAATCACAAATACTACTTGTGCCTCCGACTACAGTAAGGCGAGAGACGAGTGATAGCGACGGTAAAATCTGCTTCTGCCCTGAGAGATGCACAAGCCGACTAACAGTTGCCCCTCAGAACTACTCCAATCCAGCTCAGCGTTGGCCTCCTCTTCAAGGAAAGTGATCTATCCAATGGCTGTTTGACCAAGCCTCAATAGCTGACTAAGCATGTAGATGGTTACTGGGGCCAATACCTCTTTCAGTCTGACCCTGACTACGACGTTCTCGACGAACTCTCCGAAAGGGCTGGGTTCGAGCTATTCTTTTTCGAGTCTGAAGAAGAAGAGACCAAAGCTCGAAACGCTCTCGATGAAGGCGAATTCAATGAATTGTTTGACATCATCACGGAGGAGAAGAAGAAGAGATCCCTTGTCCTGCTGACTGCCGTTGCCATGCGAGTGGGCGCAAAGGTGAAGCAGAATCAACGCAATCTGATCGAAAAGATCTATAAAAAGGCGCATCTTATGGCAGGAGCAGAGAGACAGATTGAGAAGGCACTCAAAGAATATGAGAACGGAAAATCTTGGCACTTCAAGGAGAGTAGAGGCCTCATGGAGACCATGGAGACCATGGACAAGCCGGACGACGAGGGCTTCACTAGCCCATTCATCATCAAACCTGAGGGCGGTCAGAGCCGAGAACAAAGCGAGTCTACAAAGGAAGCGAACAAGGAAGAGCAGAACAAGACCTTTGAAGAGAGGGCCACGGAGAACGTCCAGAAATTGTTCGCTGATCCAGACTATCAGAAGTATCTTGCTTCCACTATGGAGAAGTGACCAGTTTTCCTTCGGTCACAAGATTCTGGCAACTGCTTGTGTCACGAAGGAAGAGTCGGAGGACGTGGAAGGACCTGGAGCAAAGCATGGAGGAAGCATTATGCTGAGCCTTTGCCACATGATCAACGAAATAACAAAAGTGTATGCTTATCTGCGGAACGAAGATAGGCTGTGCAAGACTTAGCCAAGCGTGTGCTGACAAAAAGTCAAATGACATCTTCAATGTCTAATTCATATCCAGTTCAACGAACCTATTCTTTCGAGTCATCTTTCATGCTTTTCATCATCCAGTCGCTAATTGCCTTCATTTCCTCCTTGCTCATTTCTGTCACTCGCCATTTTGTGGGTACGTCTTTGCCACGGTCCACACCAGGCCGTTTTAACATCATTTCCACCCAAGCCTTCAAGCGAGGGAATTCTTCGATGTCCAGCCCCGTATATGCAGCCGACATCACCCACCCTATAGTAGTAATGTCTGCTGTGGAGATGTGATCACCAACTAGGAACCCAGATTTTGAATTCTCAAGATGCTTGTCAAGGACACCATAGAGCCGTCGACTCTCGGTTGTGTACCTATCGATGCCATACTGTATCTTCTCTGGCGCATATCGATTGAAGTGGTTGGCCTGGCCCTGCATTGGGCCGAGTCCCGCATTCTGGAAGAAGACCCAGTTATTCACTTCGTATTGCTCTCGGGAGCCAGGGGGGTAAGAGATCTTGTGGTCTTTATCGTACTGCTCTGCAAGGTATTGGAGGATGCTGCCAGATTCGAACAAGCGTATTTGTTTCCCATCAGAAAACGTATCCGTGATGGCTGGTATTCGTCCATTGGGGTTGATTTCGAGAAACCAGGGTTCTTTCTGAGTATTCTTGAACATATCAATGTTCTCCACTTTGTACGGCTGGCCAGGCTGGTCAGTAGCCCATATTCTGCGTCAATGTTCGTCGAGCTTACCAGGCCTAGCTCTTCTAAAGCTATGGATATTTTTATTCCATTGGGCGTGCTAGCCGTGTAGAGTGTAATGTTAGGTCTTTCCTGAGACATGATTGAATGTCTCCGAGCAGGTTGTAGAAGATGCTGGGAGAGGGCTGATATTCTAGCTCGGACAGGCGTCGAGCTCATGCTTTTTGAATCTAAAACGGAGAAGATTGTACCCTGCGATTCCGAGCTGTGAGGACATTATGACAGGTCATTGCACTTTAGTCACCCGGCCGTCCGAAATTGGTCCGTCTGTCTGTTGCAGGTCTCAATTGTCAGCAAACAACTTGCACTCGCCCGATACCGTAAATTCGGTATCCTCCACATGTTTTACCGGCGGCAGCATCGCCATCAGATACGCCGAGTTACAGAGCGCCCAGGAACTTACTTCACTGGAGTACTTAAGCACACAGCTCTTTTTTGGATGTTGGTGCTGGTGCTGCTGCCGCTCCCGCACACACCAACCTCCCGGTTGTGCCTGAGAACTTGGCATCCTCTCGGCAGCGGCAGCGAAGTTGGCGATTAAAAGCAAACCAAAATGGACTGGATCGACAAACCACTCACCTCTTCCCCATACGTGATGGTAGCTGTCCTTACCCCTGCGACTCCGAGCCTGGTAAGATCATAACCACCAATGGACATTGCTTCAGATGCCACTAAAAGGACTATCCAAGGATTTTGACAATGGCAATTCTCTGCGCCGGCCATCAATCCGGTTCTATTAATAGAAGTCATGAAGTCCTCTTAAGACGCTTGCTCCTTCACCCTTTGCTAGACCTCCAAGCACATACCTCGTGTTTTTTTTTTCAATTCATAGCGTTTGGAGTATGGCGACCCAAGTCGAGACCACAGCGTCCCATACGGTACCACTAAGCTTGAGTGCCCGCTCTCAGCGCTTGCACCCGCACATGAAGCCATGGTTGAGGCGTCATCAACCTGCAGCTCGTCGCAGCCAACACTCGGCGCCGGATCAGGAGAGCGAAAGCCTTTCAAGGGATGTCGGTGAGAGAGGTGCCGCGTCGACTCGAACACAGCCCAAATGGTGGAGAATTAGAGTCTTCCGTGGTATGCTCGACGATGTCAAAAGAAGAGCGCCATACTATTGGAGTGACTGGCAAGATGCTTGGGATTATCGTGTCATCCCTGCAACCATCTATATGTATTTCGCGAAGTATGAATCTATGCCAAAGTTCTGTGCATCTCGTTTCTGTCGTTCATCTCTGTCATCTTGATGTCCCTTCCATCGGCTGTCCCAACAAAGTCTCGACACACTTGAATTGGGAAACCACTCCTGCAATGTCCCAGTCTGAATTCCCAATGCATGGTCATTCGTCTGCATGTACCCTGTCTTCTCTTGATATGCAATTTACTTGGCATAGCGAGTTGTAATGGCCTAGTCCTGGCAACTTACCAACCTTACAGCATCCTCCCGGCCCTTGCCTTTTCATTGGATATGTTTTCAAAAACCGATATGAGCTATGGCGTTAACGAAGTGCTTCTCGCTTCCGTGATCGGGTCGATCGTGTTCGCTCTGGCTGCTGCGCAGCCTTTGGTAATTGTTGGTGTGACTGGTAATTAAGAGCTTCTGCTTTCCTTTGGAGCTACTTCGGCTGATGTTGTCAGGTCCAATCACGGTCTTCAACTACACAGTCTACGATATTGTTGTACCCCAGGGGATCAATTACTTCGCCTTCATGTGTTGGATTGGCATATGGGCTATGATAATGCACTGGATACTAGCAATCACCAATTCATGCAATGCCCTTACATATGTGACCCGATTCTCATGCGACATTTTTGGGTTCTATGTAGCGTTCATCTATCTACAGAAAGGCATTCAGGTGCTGACCATGCAGCGGGAAGCTGCTGGAGGCGAATCAGCTTTTCTCTCGGTGACCATCTCTTTACTTGTCTTAGGCTTCGCCTATGGCTGTGGAGTTCTGGGCGAGAGTAATCTCTTTCAGCGGCATGTTCGAAAATTCGCTGAGGACTACGGCACACCCATTACAATCATCTTCTTTACCGGCTTCGTCCATTATGGCCACATGAAGGACGTCCAAGTCGAGACCCTGCCTGTCAGCAAAGCCTTTGTCCCTACAACAGATAGAAGCTGGATGATTCCTTTCTGGGATCTTTCTGTTGGAAACATTTTCCTTGCTATGCCTTTTGCCTTACTTCTGACCATCCTCTTCTGGTTCGACCATAATGGTGAGCGACCTCTTTCCATTGGTGTGCTAGGGGCAAGTGGCTTACTTTCAGCAGTGTCCTCACTAATAGCCCAGGGTACAGAGTTTCCACTTCGCAAACCTCCCGGGTTCCACTGGGACATTTTTCTTCTGGGCCTCACGACATTCATCGCAGGCATTCTCGGTGTTCCCTTTCCCAATGGCCTAATACCTCAGGCTCCCTTCCACACCAACTCGCTTTGCGTCACTCGCCAAGTCAACGACTCAGACGAAACCAACAAGGGCAAAACAAGTCGTATCGTCGACCACGTTGTGGAACAGCGTGTCAGCAACCTCGCTCAAGGCTTGCTCACCCTTGGAACCATGACCGGCCCCTTTCTCATTGTCCTTCATCTCATCCCACAAGGAGTCTTAGCTGGTCTCTTCTTCGTGATGGGCATTCAGGCACTGGTCGGCAACGGCATCACCCAAAAGATGCTCTTCCTAGCCCGCGAAAAGTCCCTCACCCAAGGCTCCGATCAGCTTGCCCGTCTGGAGCGCAGATCTTCGGTATGGATCTTCGTATCAATCGAATTACTAGGGTTCGCAGCCACATTTGCCATCACCCAGTCCATCGCCGCTATCGGTTTTCCCGTCTTCATCCTCCTCCTGATCCCCGTTCGCACTTTTCTCATGCCCAAGTGGTTCCGGCCAGAGGAGCTCCGTGCGCTGGACGCGCCGACTGCTGGCGCATTTGTGATGGAGAGTGTTGGCGGAGCGTATGGCGAGGATCCCGGCAGCAACGGTAATGGGGACAGCGGCCTCGGGCCGACTGAAGGTGGCGTACAGACAAGCCACCCGCTCAGTGGTCAGGAAAGTACTATCGACGATACGTTGGAAAGAGGTGAGAGCTATGAGTTGAGGATCCAGGGCCAAAGCCAAAGTCAGACACAAAGGTCTGCAGTGGGCATGATGAGGCGTGCAGGAGTAGCGCCAGCAGAGGATTAGATCTGCAATCCTAGGCCTGGCCTCGAAAGGCTCCTGTAGGTACCAAGCAGTTTTTGGATTTTGCTACTAGTTTAGGCATTCCGGTTCTCTTGATCATAATTAGTGAGTGTTCCAGGTCGGTCTGACCACCTCATTGCTCACAGGTTGTGTCAAAGTGGTCACACACAGCAAACACAGGTGACGGCGCAGAGAGGACTTCAGCACTGTTGTATCCGAGTTCTGCTTTCCTGGCTTTGCCTTGATTCTCCCAGTGTCCAACCACCGGTCTTGATTTTAATGTGGGTCTGAGGACTCGTTGCTGACCAAGAGACCATCAGCTTTGTGCAGTCTCACAGATCCAATGACTGTCGAAGCGCGCGCAGGTAGATGACCGTAGCAACCCCTGAACTTTGTGATTCTGCTTCTGCTTGATCTCCCCGCTTCCTCGAGGTGGATCTAGGGAAGGAAGACCGCTCTTCTTGTCTTTATTCTAGTTTCAAAGTGGATCTGGGGATCCCATATTGCGCCATATCTGCATCCTTTGACTACAGCGGAGTCTTGACAAGGACCCGTCTCTTCCCAGAAGCGAGCTATACAGCATACTCCATCCAAGTTACCGCTACACCTCGATATCCACGCCCGGAGGAAGTCTAGGATCCCTATTCCAAGTTATACTTTCTGAAATAGTACCCATTGACACGCAACATACTGGTAGCTTTCTGACTGTTCGCACTACTTGTAGAGCACTGACGGGTCCCTGGTATGCTGTGCAGATCAATCTACGGAAGGAAATTCTCCAGAGGGGTATACAGATGGGGTCTACTGTCCGCTGAATGTTGGAATTCTCTCTTTTCCAGATCACAACTTCCAAAAAAGTATTAACATACGTCAATTGGCACTTGAACACTCTTTCCAGACTACAAAAGATACATACGACTTCCATCTTTGCTTCTTACCATTCTTTCTACCTCTGCGTTTCGATACCAGCAACCTCCTTGAGCTCCCTTCCTGTCTCTAGATGCAAGTTCTTTCTTGAATCTGTGGAAAGATGCAGCGCCCTCCTTGACCTCCTCTCATAGTCCCAAGGACTGTCTTCTCAGCTCAACAAACCACCTGTCCTTCCACTCCTCAAAATCACACTGCAATCTCCTGGCACCCACAAAAATGTCTTCCATTTCAATCTCCCCCTCCTCTTTCACCTTCTCCTCCCTTAAAACCCTTGACTACTAACGCCGGCATAAGATGCCCCCCCTTCACCACCCGCCGCCAATGGTGCGCCGTGCTCCTGTTCTCAACGCTCTTCTTCCTCTGGGGCTTCGCCTATGGCCTCCTGGACACCATGAACTTCCACGTACGGCAGATCATGGGATTGGAACGCAAGCGCGCCCCCTCCTCGCCACAGGCTACTATGCCGCCTACCTGGTGTGTCCGCTGCTGATGTCTGGACCCATGATCAGAAAATGGGTTTACCGCTGGGCGTTTGTGGCTGGCCTACTTCTGTTTTTTTGCGGGGAATTCCGCCATGGGCGGGGCGGCACAGATGCAACAAGCTTCTCCTACGAGGCGATGTTCACTTCGTGCCGAGACGGGTGGGCGAGGGCCAGAGTCGAACTACCAACTGTGTTACCTACGTGTTGGGGCGCAATATCGACTCAGACATGATGCTGTTTTATCATGACGTATGCCTGCAACCGCTGTCAGAAGTCTCCCTTGGCTTCCTGTTCTATCGATTTGCGTGGAGAATCTTTGATTCACTCGAGGTCTTTCTGAACCGTTACACGCAGCGATGGCTGATGATCGAAACCCCAAATACGGGGATGCTTGAAAGCACAGAATGTACCAACAAATGACCCTCAACACCACACTCTTCCCGGCAAAGCTGCAGTCCCCATTATTCGTCAGCTATCCTCTGACAAGGTAACATCCATACCTCGCCCTGCATATCCCAGCCTGCAGGCCCATGACGGAAAGTCTCTCGTCTCCGGCATAGCCAAAGAGATCAAGTTCCATCATCCTAGATACCGAGCTGAAGCACAGACATTCCTTATTCTGCCTGCCTGCGACGAGAACGACACTATAGATCACGAGATTGCGCGCGCAGCGTGTGCCATCATCGCCTGTAACCCAAATGATGGATTCTTCACCACCGACGAAGCAGGAGCTAACCGAGTGACTGAATCACAGCTACCATATCGTGAAGAGGGATATTTCTTCCAAGCACCTAGTGAAAACCTTTACCTCGTCTGAGGGCTCAGCTAATATTGCCTAGGTTCCGACCAGCCGTACCCGGTTTTCCCTTCTTTCAGACGGTGGTATCTCCCTAACCCTGGACAGCTTCCGTCGCCCTGGAACGACTGCAGGATCCCTCTTGCACCGGACAGAACCGTACATCGTGCCACAGATGCCTCGAGCGATATCCTCGCACGTGACAAGACCTGCAGGATGACGGCCTTCGCGCTGGGGACCGAAACGGCACATATCGTTCCAAAGGCAGAAAAAGAATGGATGTACAGCAAGGGCAGGACGGATGATGGGGGGAATGACTTTTGCTGGCATGGTAGCCGCTATGTTTGTGGTTGGGATGGGAGTGAGCACGCCCGAGAGGGCGGCAAATCCTTATGCGGCAATGGTTGGGCCTCCTGATAATGCTGAGTGCAGATTTGTGTTTGCTCAGGGGCCTGCTGCTATTAGGACAATTGTGGCTTCTCTTATTTCTGCCCAGGCAGTGCCGCATGATGCGAACAATGATGCAAAAATGGCATTCGTCATCAGTCTGTATAATGTTGTTGGTCATGGTGTTTTCGGCTTGGTTGTCTTGTTTCTGTGGATCTTCTTTGGTACTGCGCTTGTGCTGGAGACTGAAGAGGAGGAGCATTCCGTGGAGGAAGATAAGGCTCAGTTGGTCTTTTGTTCAAGAATCAACCGTTTCTTCTCCCCCCCCCCAATCTGGTCCTATTGTCGACTCTGGTGCATCTGGCTCGCAAACTTCATTAATGTCTCCAACCAGATCATTATTGCACAGTTCTTCATTCAATGCTCCAAGACGGTACGACCAGGGAACACGAGTGCAGAACAGCCACAGGACTGATGCGAGAGCAACTCTCCGAACGGTAATGGAGGGACTGACAGACCTGACGGATAAGACACAAGCACGAAACCTACGAAACGCGTTGTAGGGAGTAATGCTACAAATTGAAGCGATGAAGCGGATCAGGGAAGTTAATTATTACACGAGCAGGGTAGACCCAGGAGGAAAGCCAGACATCAGGATAAGATCAAAGAAAGTACTTGAACAGTTGTTTGACAAGACCAAGCAAAGTAACTAGCGGATCAATGAACTGGACGAGGATGGGAAAGCTACCAATGACAGAAGGGAAGGCAATACGAATTAACCAAGCGATGGCAAGTGATACGGGGAGGTATCAAACTTCTTCAGGCAAGCCCCCATATTGTCACGTGGTGTTACATCTTGGTGTTTGGTAGTTTAGCTTCCGTTGCTGCCACGCAAGTTACTTCAAGTTGTACCATTACAGTATTGGTTCCGAACCATCTGCATTTTCTGGCTAGATGCCCACGAGAGGTGGCCAATTTTTAGCAGCGTACTGAAGTATTTCCAGCTGGGTTGTTGTGTTAAGCTAGTTGCTTCAACACCAAATCAACAAGATCGACAGCGCTACTTAATTGAGCCATCCACCACCCTGTCCGAGCACGGAGGTTATAACTTTAAGCTTCGTATCAAATGCATCAACAAAATCTTAAAGCTGAAGCTGTTCTATCGAGACTGGTTTTGTTGTTCGACGTGTTCGACATCAGCATCGTTCCATAAGCGATTTAGCTTTGCTTCCGACAGTAACATCCGGACCCACTGATGGCTATATAGATGGAACTTCCTGCCCATAAAGAAGTAAATCGAGCAAATAGTGTCCAACTTGAAGCAGTCAATTCAATTATCTCTTGCTAAATCTCTCAAACCCACTCATCATGAGCAATCTCTGTCGCTACGTTGATCCCAACCTATTTATCTCACACAGATGCTCCAATGACGATGCGGACCTTACATTGTACCACGTCTATGATAATCTCTCTCAGACGCCTCTTCGAGACGATGGCATCAACTGTGGCGATCCAAATACGTACTATATGCACCCACAACACATCATTACCCACAAAAAGATACTTTCCCACCTTAAATGGGAAGAACGTGAACCGACATACTTTATATCCTTTTACGATTCAGCTAAAGCCGCATTAGAAGAAGCCATCCGAAGACAGGGTCAACCCCGGCCAATGGGAATGTACAGAAACGTTGACTCTGTCCGCATAGCAACTGTTTCTGCACGAGAATTGGATGCTAAGAAGGTTTTCTACTTCTCGACCCCGGAGCTTAAAAAGATGGTTCCCCCCAGCAACGACATGCGGCCTCTTTTGAACCCAAGAGAATGGTTCGCGATGGAGTTCGTTCCACGTAGCGCCATCCTCTGCAGTGACAGTCCAGCGGGATTTCGGAAGCGGCATGATAGGCGATATCAAAAGCGACATTAGTGATATCGAACGTTCTTTCAGACGAGTCGCTGTTGTTGAACTCAAAAATACAGTTTGCGCTATTTTGCTACGTGTGTCACCAGCGTTTTGTTACAGATTTGATACGCGTTTTGCATCAGCCACGCATGTATTTTTGGTATCTGCGTTTCGCGCTATTTCGCTTGATATAGCAACTTTGTACGTATAAATGCGCGCTCCTCGCACTGAATTAGATAGAACAACTTGCTATTTCCACACTGATCCATTGATTAGTCAGCACAGTTCGTCAGCTGTCTTCTCCCATGTTTGCATGCATCGGCCGGAAAACGATAGGTGGTAATCCACGTTAAAGCGTATTGTGGGCTCTTGGAGAAACATGGAAAATCACCTTGTCTCCTTTGGACTCGGCACTTGTTAGGCTCACATGGAGATAGCAGCCCTCTTGACTACCGATAAGTTATGGGTGGTCCGACTAAATAGACAAGTGTAGCACTAGTTAGTGCTGCCAAGTAGCGATAGGCGACCATAGATAATCAACCAGACTTACACAACACTTTGATTCCGAGGTCTCATTTCGCTTCTGGACCAACTGGTCTAAAAGCACTCCTTTTCCAGAGAAGTCTATATCCTTCATTCCAAGATGATAAAAGCAGTAAGAGATCAACCAATTTAATGAACCCAGACGCTAATCCATCTCAATTTCTTGATCAGGTCTCGTTCAATTACTACATCTTAGTTTGATTTCGTCACCTTCGTCTCCTGAAGACATCGAGTCTGATCGTTGACATCAGTGGGCCCAGAATCTAAACCTCACGGGGAGCTCAGGATAAATTTCAGTCGATGCTTAGCACTTCTCAGCCTCGAAACAATCTTACACAGTCACATCTCAGGGCTGCTTACGCTTAATAACTATTACTCAGAACAGCTTTTTACAGTCTTATATATAGCTCTCCATCTTATCTATTTACCTCTTTTTCCATCTCTACTGTTCTTGTCCTCTTTTATCTCTAAGGTGTCACACAGATTAAAAAGATAACAGGATAGACTTGCAGAAATTTCAAGATTTACACTTGCTGACAGCTAAGTACTATCGTCAGCACCGACAGTAGTTAGCCAAGAAAGGGACCATCAAAAAACATCATGTCATTTCCACCAAGAACGACGTCGGAGAGATTAAAAACGGTGGAAAAAGTAAGTTCCTCTCAATCAACAACAACACTTTGTCGGTGAGCTAATCAGTTCTAGGTTCTGTGAGTTGATGAAAGAAGATCCCCTAGCCTTTCTCCAGCACTGCTCCAAAGAGAACATAATGACGTTCTGGAAATGATGCCTTCTTTGTAAAATTCTCGCAGATTGGGTATAATCAACGTTGGCTCTCCTTCGAACCAAATTGACATTATCCGGGCAGAATTAGATGGACTTATTTATACACCCACTCACCCCATTCGATCTACTCGCTTTCGGCGTGATTTCGTAAAGTCCTTTCTAGGGGATAGAGGCGGCATCTATTTATCTGATGAAACGAAGACGCTCCGAGACAACGCAGAAAAGACAACGCCAACTAAGGAAAATGACGGATCTGGGCCATAATAGGTCTGGCCCCACCGTTCGGCGGGGTGGCTCGGTGCCTCTCCTAAAATAGCCCACCGACCGAAGCGATGGCAGCAGGTTTCTTCCTCAAAAGCAGGTCCGGTTGCTCAATCCTTAGGTCGGTGGGATCTAGGCGTGTCTCGTCCGGATCCTCATCACATTAGTGGGTAGAGAGAGAATCAGGCTATAATAAGCTACCTATCAAGCAGCAAACGACATCCACCCAAAGATTGCCTTATACCTGCCTCAGTGGGTTGCACTGATGATCGTCGTCTGCTTATCACCTTGGCTCTATCACAGGTGGACCTAATCCGATCAAAGCTTATAAGCACATATAAGGCCTGATACTAAAGGACAACATATTACAGTCTTTGACCCTAATTAAATGATATCTGTATTGGTCCTCCACACTAACACATCCCTTAGTTGAGCTACAGGGAACAACAGAAGCTCGGCCACAACGCCAGATGTAAAGAGCTTTTCACATATCTCCTCCGTCAATGGTTCATTCTCGTACAAGCCTGCCTGAACCATTTTTTCATCCACACGTGAGCCAAGGCTCTGCGCGAGACTTGCGAAATCTGCCGCAGCGGCGAGGACTTTCTGAGGTCCCGATCCATCTAACGAGGTAGCTAATACGAACCTGTTGGAAAGTGAATCATAGCCGCTTAAGCTTTCGTGTTGAGATGCAGATTTGGTATTTCGCAGTTCATCCACAACAGTCACCTTGATTGTGGCGAATAGGATATGGATCTTGAGAACAACTTTGACCTTCTTGTAGAGCAGGGAGTCGGCTGATGCGGCGCTTACAAGTGCTCCTGTGTCACCCCCCAAGGCATAGCCACCGACATAATAATCTCCAAAACGCTCTTGAAGCCCCTTCATACCGTCGTATTTGATTGTCCGCTTGGCTTCGTCCGTGATGGGCGGGTTTTCGTCAGAGAGATGGTGCCGCTCCTGTAGCTTGCGGAAATTGATGATTTAGCTGCCTAGCGGAGGTGAGCAGCGGGACCATGTTGGAACACGGGGATGTATACTCGTTTGTTACTCAATACATGTTTATCATACTGCGCACTTGCTCCTACTCCCAAAAAACGAGATCCGATACCGACACCAAGACCGACGCTCAGGTGATCTCCATAGTGACTGGAGTGAGAGCTAATCGACGACTTGAAGGACGCTCGGCAGCCTTCGTTGCTGGTATATTGCACCGGAATACCCGCCAGTAAGGATTGCACAAACAAATTCTCCTTGGCCCACGGATCTTCCTCTTTGGTTCGATGGAGTGTCAATTTCAAAGACGAGAATCAAGCACGATGTGCTGTAACTGTGCTGGGCCCGCCAAGACAGTGTAGTCGAAGAGTTCGACCATTATGTCACACTGACTTCGTGGTAGTCATTGTTTCACGGAACCACATAGCGGTGTTTTGTCTCCAAGCTCGGTCCACAAACCCACCATTGCGTATCTGTGCTTGAAGATCGTGCTCCGTGCATCTAAATCAGGTGCAAATTTACATTTAGGATCGGTATAAGTGTTGATCATGTCTTTGTAGTAAGGATGCGAAGGATAACCTATGAAATGCAACCGTATATTTAGGTCTGGATGTGTCGTAGAAACACTTAGTTCGAAATTCGAGGACAGCATAACCAAAGCAGTGCTCGATAGTCCGTGGATGACTGCTCTCCTTCGTGCATCACATATCGCCCTTTAAGCGTCTGTATGACTGACATTGTCCATCAGCTTCTTCCAGCTTTCTCTCCCATATAAACACATCGATAAAAATGGCCCTTCTATCCGCTCCAGCAGGCCACTGCCGTGATGTCGAGATTGCTATCATTTGCGCCTTGCCTCTGGGGCGAGCGCGGTGGAAGACAAGCTCTGGCAAGATTCACGAGCCGAAAGCTGTCCCACAGGGTTTGGCTACATTAAGATTTCTCTGCCGACTTCGTAAGAGATCATACGGTACTGTTCCATCAACTGGAAAATATTGGATCATGTAAAACAGAGAGTTCGATAGAGATTGATGTAATTAGAAGAAGCGGAAGACCTAGAGAAAGAAAGATACTTAAGGGCCTTAAAGGAGGTAGAAAATGTTGTTGTTGAGCCTGTAAGTTACGAAGATGTAAAGATGCTGTTAAAGATAAGCAATAGCAGTTGAGGGGCAGCTGAGCAGTCCGAGCAGTCCGAGCATTCTGAGGGCACTTAGAAGAGGTGGGTTTGGCGGAAGCAAACATGATATTGTGCATTGCGAAAGTGTTGCAATTCCTTGGCGCTATAGACCAGAATCGAATCGAAACAGACCACGTTTAGCCGTAAAAGAGCGTAAAAAAGCGCAGAAAACCGTGCATACATACAGAGCTGTGGTAAGCAGACCCTCATATGACAAATTCCTCCTCCAAATGCTTCGTAAATAGGAAATAAGCGTGCAAAAAAAAGGGACAGAAAGTGGCGAGTATTCGTGGCCAAACAGCCACTGCGAAATAGCCGAGGCAAGCGGGGTATTAGTGGCCAATGAGTGACCAACCGAAATATAGCCGAAATCCGGCTGACAATTATTGAATCTGCTTAATCACCGAATCGATGTCGGTCAAGTCCCAAACATCAGTATATTTGCCATCCACGAGGTGATACAGCGTGAACTGTGTTGTGGACACGCGGCGACCTGTTGGCGCTATTCCCTGGAACGTGCCTAGGTGCGTGCCTGTGACCTTGAAATGTAGGGAGAGATAGTTGCCGTCGAGCGCAAAATGCCGAATTTCCCAGTGCCAGTCGGGAAATCCCTCAACGAGGGGCTTGAACTGCGCCGTAACCTTGGAGGGGGCCCAGGGCTCATCGTTGATATTGATAGGCGAGGTGTAGAACTTCTCCATGGCCTCGAAATCGTGCGCATTGCAGTAGTCGATATAGGACTGGTACAGCGCCCGCCGTGGATCTTTGTTGGCTGTTGCAGCTGAAGGCACTTGTTGAGTTGCCATCGATTGTTTGACGTCAGGCTTGGCTACCTGGGTAGCTAATAGAGCTGGAGCACTAGAGAGTCGTAGATGGCTTGAACCAGGTCAGAACTTGGGAGACCTTTCTTAACAAGCCGAGGGCAGAGGAAGTAATACTAGGCAGGATAGAAGAACGCTGATTTCAAGCTTACCATGGGATTTTTGATGCGTCAAATGTGAATCCACAGTGCGAAAACGAAAGCGGAGATGGCTCACATCAAGTAGGTTGCAGTGAAACAGCTTGAGTGCCCATGAACTAGGGGTTACATAGGGTCTTTGCGGAGATGGTATGCTGAGTAACGAGGGGTTGTCCATTATGGGTTGCCCAGGATGGGCGCTTAAATACGATGCAAAATTCTAAGAATTACTAGGACCCACGACCACCATATCATGCCTCCTCTCCGTAGCGCCCAGCCTCCGAAAATACTGATGCTACATGGCTATACACAATCTGGACAGCTTTTCCATGCTAAGACGCGAGCTCTTGAAAAACACCTGCAAAAAGCATTTCCAGGATCAATTCTATCCTACCCAACCGGGCCTCTCCGCTTGGACCCCTCGGACGTGCCTGGCTTCGATTCTTCCAATGCTTCGGATAGTGATGACGTCGAAGTCCGTGGATGGTGGAGGCGTTCCAACACTGCAAACCCTCCGGAATACCTCGGGATGGAAAATGGGTTCTCCGAGGTCGCGAAAACACTGACCACCGAAGGACCTTTTGATGGTGTGGCAGGTTTCTCTCAAGGTGCTGCTCTGGCCGCTATGGTGTCATCTCTATTGGAAGGTCAAAGACGGAAAGATGCTTTCCAAAGCTTTCATTCTCAGTCCTCGCTCTCAATTCCCTTCCCTTCCTCATTCATCGACATACAACACCCGCCTCTAAAATTCTGCATCATGTACAGCGGATTCGTTGCCCCAGGCGAACGGTACCGCGCCTTTTACGATCCCCACGTCTCGACTCCGTCCTGCCACTTCATTGGCAGTCTTGACAGTGTGGTTGAGGAAAGCCGTTGTCAAGCTCTTGTCGATGCGTTTGGTGGCGGGGCCAAGGCTCAAGTGGTCTACCATCCAGGAGGGCACTTCTTACCAAGCAGTAAGCAATTTCTGGATGTGCTCGCTAGCTTCATAGACAACGCGACCGCAGCTGCTACGCCTGCTACGCAAAGGAGGATGAAGGGAAAAGAAGAGTCGGCCGAGGATTTGGACTTGCCGTTCTGAGACACAGATTATTAGTGTATCATTATTACAAGTCACCCTTGCATTGTTCCCCGAAGAGCCTTAGGTAAAATATGCGCTCGGGTTGCTCCGCTGTTCCTGAGACCAATGTGAGAGGCTTCATCGCCCTTCTTGGAATTTGGCATACTGCGCAAGATGGCTCTTTGTTGTTCTCTGGGTCTTTCTCATCGCTGTTCTACAGCAGGTCATTCCACTGTGAACCTCATTCCTTCAATCACGCTCAACATTTGGCAGCTAAGGCGGGACGCAAGATACTGGCACAGGGGGTGTCAGAATTCACTGCTCTTTAACCGATATTGAACCGTTTCTGCGCGAGAAGTTTTTTGCTTGGTTGGCTAAATATCGGATAAAACGCAATGAATCTGACCCCCCCTGCGCTGGAGCCTGTGTTGATTACATGTCTATCCCTATTATTGCTCATTTACACTGTTTACACATTTATCATCCACCGAACAAATGCACATGACGAAGTCTATGTGGCACAGCAGACGCATTATATCATCTGCCAAGAGATGTTGGTTACACAGGCACCTTCAGCACCTTCAGCACCTTCGTTGGTCTTCCAGCCTTGCCAAGATTCAACAATAGATATGTAGTAGTGAGCGAACGACCTTGCTTTGGAAAGACATCAGGACAATACAATCATGCTTTGCAGCTACTGTCAAGAAATCTTCACAGGGGAACGCAATCTGAAGCTGGACGGGTCGTTGAGGTACCACCTTTACTGGGTTACTGATCTGATGCAGGGCGTACGGCGAAGATGCTTCATATGTTCTGCTCTTAAGCGAGCCGTTCTCGCGAATGGCAAACTCAACAAACTCGAAGGAATCGAAGGACTCGAAGCAACTGGAGGGGTAGATGGTTTCATATCTAAATACAGCATGAGACAAGGAACGGGAGACACAATTGGACTCACGTTCCGGCTCATCACCCATCACGCCGTCCGTATTCAACTTATCACTGAACGTCACATGCTTATCCGTCCGCGGAATGGTAAGGAACTTTATCCTTGCAATGACTTCTCTGGTGGTGTGTGCGCAACTCCTTTGCTAACTCAACCCCTCATCAGCAAAGACCAAAGAAACAGTCTCAATCGATCTGGATAAATCCACATCGTCCCCAGGCAGTCTCGACATGGCCACCAAATGGTACAAACAATGTCGTGCGAGCCACAGCACTTGCGGAGCCATCTCACCTCAGCTGGGGTTCGTCCCTTCCCGCCTGATTGACGTCGGCCATAGTCATAATTCTCGATGGCGTATTCTTACTTGCGATGATCTCTCCATGCGCAAGCCGCACGATATCGAATACATGACTCTCAGTCATTGCTGGGGAGGGTCATCCTTTCTCACGCTAACATCTACGAACCTCGAAAGACTGAGACAAGAAATGCCAGTAAGCGTGCTCCCAAAAACCTTCCAACAAGCGCTCTATGTGACAAGACGGCTGGGCTGTCAACTGCTGTGGATCGATTCGCTCTGCATTATGCAAGACTCCTGGCAAGACTGGCGCCAAGAGTCGTGTAAGATGTCAGGCATCTATTCGAATGCGGTCTGCAACATTGCGGCTACTGGATCATCAAATCCTTATGGGGGTCTCTTTCAGAGTCGAGATGTTGTTGTCAACACACCCTGCATTGTTCAGACAAATTTGAAAGATGATGTAAATCATTTAGTCGTCATCACAGATTGTAGCTTGGACGTCGACCAAGTCATGCATGCGCCGTTAAACCAGAGAGGTTGGGTGCTCCAAGAATGTCTGTTATCACGACGATTATTGCAATTTGCAAATGAGCAAATCTTCTGGCGATGTCAGCAGCTCGATGCGTGCGAAGCTCAGCCCCATGGCGTGATCTATGACCCAGCAGTCAATATCATCAGTCATTATGGAGTAGATGAACTTTCTCTTCGTCGCTATGTGAGCCAGGTCCAGGCTGGGACTACTCCAAGTGGGCCCATTCGTGATGATGATCATGCTGATGCGCCAAGTTTCTACAACCTCTGGCAGTATGTGATAAGAGATTACTCTTGCCTCTCGCTCACACAAACCACCGACAAACTTGTAGCTTTATCCGGGGTGGTGGACATATTGCAGCAAGCATCTGACGACCAGTACCTAGCGGGCCTGTGGAGGTCACACCTTCCGGCAGCACTGCTTTGGCATCGCAGGCTTGGTAGTAGACTTCGACCATTTTATGCGCATTTCGACAAGCGGCGATCGGCGCGAGCACCATCTTGGTCGTGGGCTTCTCTGGATGGATCCATAATTTTGCCGTGGCGCACAGAGAATCAGGATCCGAGTGGCGCCTACAAGCCACTTGCCACACTCATCGCTGCTACGGTGTGGGAAGATCCTGCTGCAGTTAATCAGTATCGCGTGAAGGGCCTCGTCAAGCTGAAGGCATTCTTGATGCAAGCCACATTCCGCAAAACCGTCGACCTTCTTGATTACGGGAAATTGGAGTCAGATGCGCTCGATAATTCAATCGTCGCCATGGAGGACACGCCGCTTGAAGCGTCGAACATATCGCTGTTCTGCGCTGTTATATGCTCTCGGCTCGTAAGTAGTGAAGGGAAGCCCCATTGCATACATCAAGGACTTCTGCTCAGGCCTCCAGATGTACGCACAGGATCCTTTTCAAGATTTGGCTACTTTCATATTATGCAGGAATGCAAGCAGAAGCGGGTTGATGCTATGGAAGATGACGTACTGAGGCATTTTGAGCAGAGAGAAATCGAGATATGTTGAGGCGTGTCGCGTGTCATCTTGCGCCACAGCATGTATTTATGTATTGGGCTTCTTGCTCTGACCAATTGCTGTTGCATCTTCTTCTAGATGTGCTCATAATGGTAGAACATGACGCACAGACGGCGAGGTCGATAGAGAATGGGCTGTAGCCTTGGTGGTTTCCCAGTGAAAAACGGCTTGATCTGGCATTTCAGACAAGCAAAGAGAAAATAAAAGAGAAAATACAAGTGAATGAGTTCATCTCCCACCTATAGTTTCGCGGTTTCGCAGTTGCGCAGTTGCGCATAGTTTCGCATCGGCAAGAGTCTTTCATGCCTTGACCATTCAGCCCTATATTTCTTCCCCGTCCCCCTTGCATAAACCGTTACCCACGACCCCACCTTTTCGCATACGCATACATCATTTCGTGATCAACCCAGGCGAGTGCGGCCACGACTGAATACTTCTCGAGAGCAGCTCTCTTGTCTTGGACCATCCTCTAGACGGAAGGAAGACCATCCAGGGGAGCCATTTCACCAAGTGTCCATCAGCACAACCAATCTCGTCAATTGCTGCCAACACCACCACCACCACCACCACCGCAATAACAACGACAAGCAGGCAACAGCTGGTAGATCGCCACAATGTATTCCATGTCAACCCCGGTTTCTCACCCCGCCACCGATCAATATGCGGAGCCTGAGAACAAACTCGAGATCGAAGTGAGTATTGTTCTGTCGTCGTGCCCATGTCCCCTTCCACACCTGTCACCACTCCTTCAATTCGCTTCATCTGGAAAACCCTAGACCTCATCGCTCGCCATAATTTTTTTCTCTAGTCCAATACTAACATTCCCTTCCCCTTCCACCCCCTAGGTCAAGAACCCACAAACCCACGGCTCCTCGCCACGCACCATGTATACCTCGTACGAGATCCACACCCGCACCAACATCCCCGCCTTCAAGCTGCATCAATCCGTCGTTCGGCGCCGCTACTCCGACTTTGAGTATTTCCGCGACATCCTCGAACGCGAGAGCGCGAGGGTCACGATCCCGCCGCTGCCGGGGAAGGTGTTTACGAATCGCTTCAGCGATGACGTGATCGAGCATCGCAGGGAAGGCTTGCAGAGGTTTCTGTATATCGTTGCCACTCATCCCTTGCTGCAGACGGGGAGTAAGGTGTTGGGAAGTTTTATACAGGGTGAGCTTTACTCTTCCTTTTCTTATAGTGGGCTTCAGGGGGAAAAAAGGGGAGACGCATAGAGGGAAAGGAAAAGGGAGGGAAGAGCATTGTGTGAAAGCTCTTTTACTGCTGGAGATACTAAGGGCATAGAGAGAGGTGTGAATGATGGGTTTTTCAAGATCAGAGCTAATGGTTTATTTTTACTTATCACAGATCCAAACTGGGACCGGAACGCGTGGTGAGCGCAGCAGCACTTGCCAATGACCCTCATGTTTGGCGCAGCAAATGGGAAATGGGCTGGTCGCGGCGGTAGGAAGAAGATGGGGGCAACCAACACAGCGATTCCGATGCTTTTACCGCTGAGGCTGGTTTTAACAAAACACACCCCGATGTGAAAAACTTTTGCTGCTTACTATATTTCATTTCTGTCGTTCTGTCAATCCATCCAGCGAAGGCGCGAGTTCTCAGCGGAGTAAGTACTAGGCTTGGGTTGATCCGATATGCGTTCAGTATTACTCTTATCTACTCTGTCCAGTCTGAACCAATTCAAATGCCAGTGCCATTGTCAGCGCCAAAGGCAAAGGAGGGAAAATACTATAACTCTATGACCTGGAATAGTTCAATCGAGAAAAAAAAACATGTACCTATCCCATAAAATACGTGAACGAAGATCCTCCTCCCTCCTGGTGGGTACTCAATAAACGGGATGTGCCATGCTAACCCACGCCCCTGGGGTACCTACCTACCAGACAGCACTACGTAGAATGCCCCATTCCACTTCCAAACTTACTCGTAACTCGTAGCTCCAGGCCCTGAGATAATACCCGAACACAGTCCCCATTCCCTTCTTAATGCTCTACTATCTATTACCCTCCAAGCCAAGCGAATCCAATCCAACCCCCCCAAAAAAACCCCTGTTGAAATCCCCATCCATGTTTATACTACCTGAGGATTCCTCATTGGCCAAACCCCCCTCTCCCCTCCCGCAATGTAGCAGAATAGTAAGTAGCAGAATTAGTTAGAACGTACGGTAATATGTTCGTAATTATATGCCTAACCTATTAAGTAGTGACGGTTATATCTGCAAGCCATAAAGCAAAGCGCAGCAAAGCAAAAGCAAAGCAAAGCACAATAGAAAAGGAACTAACTAGAAAAGGGCTCAGTGACACCTGTTTTTGCAGAACATACCCCCATATATCCCATGTCTATATCCAGATCCAGACGCTGACCATCCCTGCTTGCCGTTTCCCTGCATTGCCTGATTGCCAGTTTGTGTGCTGTGCTGTGCTTTGTGTTTTTATTCCTGCCCTATCCCTTTTGAATCGCAGACATGTATTGATGCGATACCCTGGTATCCCTTATTTTCATTGCCTTGTCTGATGCGCTTTGTGCTTATTCGTGCCCGGTCCCTTTCCTGTTGCCTTGTTAATCACATGCCAAGTGTTGCGTGCCAGCTGTCCAGTAATTCCCGTATGTCCAATGCCCATGCCCATGCCAATATCAATATCCATATCCATATCCAAGATGCTATGTGCCCATATTTTACAGGCCAAACTCCTCCCAATCCAACAAGGGCGCCAATTTGTTATCGCCCCAGTCCCAGTCATTGTCTCCGAGCGCCAGTGGTGGGAGGGTGAGGTTTGGCACTGCGGAAGAACTTTCTTGAGTAGTGCTTGTGGTGATGGTGGTGATCTCTAGAGCCTCGACGCCGCTGGTGGTGATATCTCTGGGACTTTCATCCGTCCTGAGATGCAGTGGTTTCGTAGTTGTGACTGCTATGGGAATGGGGGCGAATGACGCGCTTGGCTTGCGCTTATCACTCATCGGATTCGACGAGTTGATATGTCGAACGCCGGTGGCAGGTTGTGAATTTGACGACATAGAGTTGTTCTTCGAGCTCACGCCACCGGCGCTGGTGGTGTTCTTCCTGCCCGCAGGCGGCCCGCTATCGGCATCCATGTACTGCTGTGGAAAGAGACTGCGAAACTTGTCGCGGATATCGGTTGCCTTTCGATGGGAGAGGTTCAGCTCGAGATCGTTGCGGATTGCCGTCCATTGATAGCCGTGTTTGGCGAATCCTTTGACCAGGTTTTGGTGCTCCTCTTCAGTCCAGAGTTTGCGGACTCGTTGGCTGGCGCGGGATTTGGCTGCAATGGCGAAATCGGATGGAGTGACTTTGAGGTTCAAGGGCATGCTGGGGACTTGGTAGGAATGACTCGATGAAGGATGGTTTGGTAAAAGATCCGATGGGGGTGAGGAAAGGGTGTCTGTCGAGCTGGGCAGGTTATGCCCAACATTGTTGTTTCGCGCCTGCCCAGGATTGAAAGTGAGCTGTTTGTCGGGTCTAGCAGAAGGGCCGACGTCTTCCATCTTCTCTTTGTTGGTGTTGGGAAAGCAGATTCTGAAGCGGTCCTTCAAATCCATAGGCCGGCGATCACGAAACCTCAGCTCAGGGTCAGCGCAGATATCTTTCCATTTGCCAGCCCCATGTTTTGCAACGCCTTTAAGCAGCTGCTGTGTCTCTTCCTCACTCCACTTCTTCCACGTCCTCTGGGGCCTATGGTTGGCCGCTGTGCTAATATTTCTTGCCATGTCCATCTCTTCGGTAGGGCTAGAAGACTTGAATTTATGATGATTCACTGTGTCCGCTGGTTCAGGCTCGGGATTGAGCATCTTTTCCGGAGGAAGTGGGAGGGGCTCGGAGATGCTATCAAGCATTGCTTTTACTTCTTCAAGCTCCATGGGTGGAAGTAAAGCAGCGCTCGGTGGAGGCTCATGTATCCCATTGACGATGGTTGGCAACAGTGGTATACGCTTGCTGGCTTCTTTCTGTTGAGGTTTTGGAAGCTGTACATAATCACCATGGTATTCGTGATCTAGCTTGACTCGTTTGGAAGGGGAATATTCGGCAGGCCATGATTGAAAGGAGGAGTTGTTCTCAACCGCTGCGAGATTCACGAATGATGGTGTAAATAATCTTGGTAGTTGACTGGTAGAACTTGACTCGACCAGCGCACTGATTGCCAGATTGGGTTTCTTGGTGTCTCTTGCAGAGATGACATCGGCCGGTGTTATCGTTGGAGTTGTTCGCTCTGCCTGGGATGTATTTTTACTACACCCCAGCTTGACGCCACCTTGTATCTGCTTTCCATCTGGAGCGTTTGGCTCGAGAGGTGACAAGACAGTCAAGGCTCGGGAAGGAAAAGGGTCGCGAAGCGGAGGGATTCGGACATCTGTACGCGGAGGAAGATCTGGTAGATGAAGCAACGGATCATCCAGCAGGCCAGGTAACGGCTCGAGAAAGGCAGTCATGGCGCCATATGAATGGAAGTGATGTTTAACATGGTGTAGCCCGCCATAAAGTAAGGCCGCGCAGCCTGCAGGCTCCCTTGTACGACATCAGCATAGCTAACCATGTACTTTATAAAGTGTCATCGTGTGCCGTGACGATTACATTCATTCAGGTAGTACAGAACCTTGGAAGGCCAACTTTACGCCAAGCTGTCTCCTCCCCAATTGGAATTCATCTTCCCAAGGGACTGAGCACGGTACGCTACTTGATGTAGATCACGCCGAAAATGCCCTTTCAAGCCCAGAAACCAGTCTAATGGGGTTTATCAAATCAGGTTCCCATACACTTTATGTCTTTGGTACAGGCATTCCACAGTTGAAGACGGAATTGGACAGCAAATGCGTTGCGGCCTCCACCCCGAAGGATCCATTGAGGCGCAGGCCGTCCCGGCCGAACTTACTACGTATGGTCGGGGCCCGGCTAAGAAGCTCGGACTCTATATATCACCTCGACTGAGCAGTCCATGATGTTGTAGGGAAGAGAATTCATATCCATTCCTCTGAAATTACACCTCTTTCCAAGATGCCGCCTGTCCTCCCCATCTGGCCCCGTGTCCTGTTTGGTGTAATTGAGCCTGTCCTGCTGTAATATAGCGTTACCCATCATCCTGCTTGCAGTCTGACCCGTTCCCTAGACTTTCAGGTGCCTACGCCGCCTTCACAAACCCTCAAGAATTCGCAAACAAACAAGTACCTGGCACACCTGCTACAATTCCCACATCTGCTAACTCCACCATAACCGTTTTGCAGACTGGGAACATATATCTACTCCTTGCTGGCTTGGCGATCCTATGCTGCTTCTTCTCGAGCCCTCAAGTCGCGCGAAATTATCTCCTCGTTGTTGCCTGTGCCGATCTTGGCCATATCTACGCCACCTATGCTGGTCTGGGTGGAAATATGTTCTTTGACGTCGCGAACTGGAATGACATGGTGTGGGGACATGTAGGCACAAGCAGCTTCCTATTTGTGAATAGAGTGGCAACCGCAGCAGGCATTTTTGGATCGAGCGAGAAAGGGGGCACGAAGCGGGAATGAATCAGGCGCGACTCATCAGAGTCAGGGGAGACATGTCGAGGAGTGAACCCAAGTATCGAGTGCAAAGGACTCTGTTCAGCGCCGGCGTCGCTGTTCCAACTGATCCCAGATAAGCATCTGGGCCTGAAGAGTGTCCTCAGTTAATCCCATGGTGCTCTACCCCCATCTTTGGCTCTTTTCTATCGTGCACGCTCCCTCAACGACGCTGCTCGATCTGAAGACGATAGACGTATCGATCGTCGTACAAACAAAGACAAAGACCCAGAGATTTTTGCGACGCCCTGCAATGCATTGCTCGAGATCCTGCGGGCTCCGATAGCGACAGAATGCGCGTACACTAAGCCCTTGTCCCAATAGCCCACAATGGTACAGATGCTCTGGATGCATACGCATCGTGAACTGGCAACGCTAATCGCCGAATCAATAGATTGCCTCGAAAAGGTATATAAATCCAAACACAAGAAACGCGATGGCGCCACCCATAGTAACTAATAGTGTTAGCGGATAAAGGGAATATGGCCCGACTCCACAAGACTTACCAACTCTTAGGCTGACCTTTCCCGCAATGGCTGCGCCACCCAGAACGGCCGCTCCTGTACAGATAAAATGACCACCCAAAGCACCTCCTATGACCCACCAGTAATCCTGGCCAGCAGCCATGGCGATCGTAGCGATTTGACTTCGGTCTCCCCACTCGCCAAGGAAGGTCATGACAAAGGTTTGAACCCAAGCGGGACTCAAAAGTAAGGAGAGGAGATTGTTGATTCCCACTAAGGCGTTCGACAAGAATGATTGTCGAGACGGTGAGCTATCCCTTGAGGATGAAGATGAGGGACTGTCGGGTGGCGAGGGCAGTCGAGTAGTAGCTGCCCGTGATTTGCGCACTCCGCGTCCAGATTCTAAAACATAAGGACTTACTGATGACCTTCGTCTGCTCATTCTTCGTTGTTGATGCTCTTTCTCTTCTAGTTCCATTTCAACTTCTTTCATCTCCTCGCTGACACCCTCATCAGGAGATATTTTGCGTGCTTCGAAAAGCATCTTGATACCAAAGACTAGAAAAAGAGCAGCGGCAAGGAAATTAGTGATGGACTTGGGTATTAAAGAAGGCACCGCATGACCGAGCATGGCGGAGAGCACAGTCATGACAATCATCGCACAAAAAGCGGACGTGAAGACCACCATCCGAGGATTTCGCATCGCCATAAGTGCTGCGACAATGAAGGTTTTGTCGCCGATTTCAGAGAAGAGGATCATGGTGAAAGATAGGAGAAGGGAATGGAGCGGTTGAATGACCCCATTCGCCTCATCTAAAGGTGTCTGCTTGTTTTTTTGGTCTGAGGAGCTTCTACCCGGCTCGAGAATGTCATCTTTTGGTGATGAAGGATTTTCTGCAGGTGGTATATCATGGGGTTTGCTTGGTAGATCCGTTGGTTTCTGTTATCTCTAGTCAACCTAACGCATAAATTGTAAGCAAAGGGTATGAGTTACCTCTAAGAGCTTTTTCTCCTCTTCTAGGTCCTTCTCCATATCCTTGCTAGGATGATCATTCATCATCTCCTGCTCGCTGTGAGGCAATGGTGGTGCTTCTTTAGGCGGGTCTGGCTTTTTCTCCCCTCCAACCCTGCTCTCTTTCGACTTCTCGCTTACGCCTCCCTCAGTGCCTCGTGTACCGTCCTTGGGACCGATTCGGTTCGGATCATCCATCACACCATCGTTTGTTGGACGTAGATCTGCTTGCTCTTTAGCTGGTCCTGCCGAGGTGATGATGGCAGGATCCTCATCGCCCGAGTCCTTCGCCTTCTTGCGATCCCGCTCTGCTTCAGTCTCAACAAACGGACCAGCATGTGGTTTGCCATCTTTGCCATCTACAGGCGCGTCCTTGGTCCCAACTGGGTTCAACTGCGCAGGCCCCGCAGGCTGTTCGGAGGCTGGCTTCGACACGCCGGAGTCTCTAGGGACTAAGACCTGGCCTTTTCCGCGCTTAACACTTCGAGGCGATCTCGCTAGGCCAGGTGACAGAATTGACAGCAAGAGAAGAAGGAGGAGAGGTCGTCTGAGCCGAACTTTCATATCGATCAAACGCTCTGAGATCGAACTGGTTTGGCGCGTTCACTTGCAAGATTTAGGAGCAATGTACGGAAAATCTTTTTAAGATGATGACGCTGCTTCGTAGAATAATCATTGACCAGCAAAGTCTAATGCGGTCTGAGCGGTTTGTACGATCAAACACGCTGTTCTGCTCGCCCAAACTCCCCTCTGATGCAATTTCAAGTTGGGCTAAGGCAACGCCTAAGACTAATTGGCATTAGTATGAGACCCGTTTTGTATCATCTCTTGGCAACCGCTCTGCCTTTCATTTTCCAGTTGAACTCAGACCTCACATGATCGATCGTGGGCTGAAGCCGCACTATGCCCTTTGGGGCATTCTCTCGGAACACGTGTCCTACAGTAAGCAATGGGTGGTCTAACTAGGAATTCAAGGCAAATTTTCCACCGTGCTCTGGCAGTGATGAGATTGCTCTTGGTCTTAAAATCAAGGCGAGAGTAAGACCAGTCTGGCTCTCTCGGAAGCTAACGAGCACGTTTTCCCGTTCTTATACGGCAATGATCTTGGCTTGCGCCTCACATATTCGCTGGACACTCTGCTTGCGATACCATCTACTTATCTGGCATTGATAAGTCAGTTATAGCGGACGCTACCACCACTGTAAAAGGTAGCTTAAGCACTGGTGATTATTTATTACGCATCTTCCAAATCAAGTGCTGTGCTACTCCGTTACAGGCTAAACCCAGTCTATGAAAGTAGACATTATGCTCTTCTGGCGATCTGTAGGTGGATATCTCGTCAAGCAGAGAGCAGATGTCAAAGTGTGTTGTGGACAAACGAAGGAGCCGCGCAGTCTTGTGGAGGCTGGTTTGTGAAGTGTATTCTCTACAAGAGAACGACTCACCACCAGTCTTCCGGAAAGCCCTTACTCCTCTCTGTCCGCATGTTGAAGCGATTGTCACTGGCCCGATCTTATTCAACTGATCTATGCATAAGCAGAAATGGCCAGCCCAGCGCCCACTCCCGGCCCTGTCAACCACAGTAGAGCCTGCCAGAGCTGCACAACAGCGAAGTCAAAATGCGCTTCACAAACCAGCATTGCGAATTGCCCATGAACAAGGTCTGTTAGACCCAGTAAACCCAAGCAGTCCGAGAGCTAATACGGTAATAGATGCTTTCGATTGAAGAAAGAGTGCATACCTGCAGTTCCGACTGGTCCGAGAAGGAAACCACGCAAGCTAACAACGTAAGAGAAGGCTCGTGTTATTTGAAACTCCTCAGTTGATCGAATCCTTCCTCAGAGGGCACGGTCCAGTTGCATGAAAGGCTTGACAACAAAGTATCAATGCTTGCAGGTGTACAGCAGCTAGCCTCATAGCTCGCGCACCCTTGCCCGCCAGAGAATCCGCAGGTTCAGAACCATCTCAATGGAGAATTTCATTAGGCCTCGTCACGGTTGTGGTGGGGTCCAGTCTGCCTAGAAAGATGATATTGAATCTGCAGTTGAAGCATCTTCGGTCGGCAATGCTGCTCGATGATCGGACTGCGCAGCTCAGATGACCCCACGGGGATCACCTCCGAGCTAAATCATACCTATTGACAGCACTCTCCCTTCGTACTTGGAGCCATCTGCCACGGAGGCTGCCCAGCTTTTGGATCGCTTCAAGGCTCTTTTCTCTCAGCATGTTCGTTGTGTAGTTTGCATTCTCCAACAGGAATCTACTTCAATCTACCTATCGAAGTGGTAAAATTCATCACTCTTACCATCATTCGTATTCTAGGTGCGAAGAGGGCAGTCGATTCGAAACCCTTAATCAAAGAGCGGGTAGATGGGCTCCATCTCCCTGCTGCGCCATCTTCACACCAGCAGTCACAATGCTGCTTGTAGCACTGGAATGGAGAGGCGTTACATACCCGTGGAGCTCGCTAACGATCATAAGGTTGTTCCTCGCCGTAGCTGGAACCTTCTGAGTCTTTCTTGGCTGGAATTCTTCAAGGTGAGAGCGCCATGCTGGCCATTGGTCTGCTCCGGAATTCTATCGTCTGCTGTGCTGTCATTGCCAACATCATATCAAACGGAGTCTTCCTCCTGATCACCATTTGCCTCTCACTCTGGCTCCAGGTCGTTAATAATGCAGCGCCGCTTATAAGTGGATTTCATACCTTGCCACCAGTCTTATCTTAGATCATTGGTACGACAGTCCCCGGGTTTCCAGGTAGGTAACCCCAAACTTCTTCGTTTTGCAGTCGTTTCATACGCTACAGGTCTCAAAGACCAGCTACAACACCATGCAATCGTTCTTGAGGGGCCCCTATCAGTAAATGCATCTGGTCTAATGAGTGGCCTCACTCCGACCCTGGCGGAAGGCTAATCAAGCAAATAAATCCAACTATCTAACAAGTCCACTTACCAAAAGGTCGGCTCATCGATGGCTCCATCTTGGTGACTTTCTGCCAGAATTTTGGCGCTACAGAATCACCATAGCCTTGCCCTCTTTTATGATTTCGAGCGCCATGAGCATTATTACCCAGACTTCGAGTGGCCCAACTAGTACTACCAATTGCTGTAGACGCTCTAGTATGTCGTCGTTGTTGTGATGAAAGAAGAGGATATAGTGTGCCAACCAATTGCTCTTAATGGTTCTTGAAGGCGGAAGCAAGCTGGCGCAGGTTACAGATTGTTTGATATATACTTGTACCACAAAAGTCTCAACCTATCTCTTTATTATCCTACACAGGTATCAATCGCTTATTTGGGAGTAGCTGTCTTTCGACTCAGAGCGGAACCGTTCATACATATCCTCGTACAGCTTCCACAGTGGATTACAACCATTTGTTCAACAGCCAAATGCTAAACTTGACCCTGTAGTTCAACGCTCCACACGCACTTTGACAAAGATTCAGATATCCTCAGTCAGCCTTTCCATGGCCTCTCGGAGACAGGGTCCGGCCCTGAATACTACTTTGGCCCTGTGGGCCATGTAGTTCTTGGGATGCCGTAAATCCTGGGGTTTTCTGTGTGCCACGGCCTTGTTGACCTTTAAGTTGTCGTTCAGATCCGGGTCCTTGTTTGCTTGGCGAACCTTGTGCTGGTCGTGCAGGACTGCGCCTCAGTATCATCTCCAAGCGCTTGGCCCTACGTCCGGCAGTCTGTGCTCCACCAGGTGTGCGTGATTGTTTTTCGAACTCGGTTTGCCATGTAATGGCAATCTGTCGAAATTTTGAATCATTTTGGAGCCTGGACTGAAAAATCTTGGTTGCATTTTCATCGAATTCACCATCAGAAAATCGAAGAATAAGCATGTTATCAACGGGGTCACCCTGTACTATCATAGCAGCAATCCCGACACCAGCGGTTGCCACTAGACAGATTAGACTTTGCTCTTAATGTGCTATGAGATGAAGACTTACATCCAGCGGCCGCAGCAATTTCAGCCATAATCAGAAGTGTGATTTGGTATTGAGGATAGTGTTATCCAGACGTTTCGTGGACGTTGAAAGTCTTGTTAGACTCTGTGAGACACGATTCTCAGGATATTCACTTTGCTTTGCATTGAGACGCATGTTCATTTCTTTATACTTCGTCAACTGCCATGCTTGTGCTTTCAATTTTTCGCCAATTATGCCCATCAGTTTTATTCCAAACATACTACTGAACACCATCGACAAACTGAGTTTCATCATGAGTGAATGATACCGTTGGGCCTGGTATAAAACTGTGTTCGAAATGAAAGTAAAGGATCCACTTATGCATGATCTTGAAACGGTTCTCGAGTAAGAGGATGTCACACTAGTATGGAGCAGCTAAATGTCAACCTTTCCTCTTCTAAACCTTCTGGTAAGAAACAGTGAAACCCTACGGAGTCGTGCTTCAAAAGTAGTTGACCCCCCTGGACAGTGTGGCGCTGCTAGGTTTTTAGCTTGAAGATAAGTTGACCCGCCAATTAATAGTGTAAGGAGCCAGCATCTAATGATGCCTAAATTAGTTACTAGATAGTCCTTATCTTATAGGTACTTAAAATGCCACTTATAAGGTGTAATTTTATATTATAGGCCTTATCATCCCTAATCTCAAATCTCCTAGAATCACTCTTAGTGGGCAGTATCCTCCTACATCGGCGGTGCTTTAACTCTAGAGATTCGGAGTTGTCTGTCTTAACGAAATCTCATTATCTGGTGGATCAAGTGGAGTGAGATTGAGCCAGGAGGATGTAGTTGACAATATCAAACCATGCGAATGTGGATCAGCTGAGTGAAAGGGATAATCGACCCAGGTTTACTTAGCAGACTACGCTCTAGAATCCGGAACAGGATGTTCTGGTAACAATTACGTGCGTAGTAGAGTACGAGAAGAAAATTGAGTAAGGTTATGCTCTGTCAGAGGAGTCAGTGGGGATACATCAACCAAGTGTGGTTCGAAACGCGCAATATTGGACGGCCACGGCTTAACACGAAAAAGACGAATGAAATAAGCGACAAGCTCTGAGTATGTGTAAAGAGTGTGTTGATTCTATTAATGCCCCGCGGACGGCTATATGGCCTCTATTTGGCGTCTGATGGGCGCACGGCAGGCGTACAGCAGGCGCATAGCAGGCGCATGGCACCCTGTTCTGCCCTGCAGGCGCATGACACACAAGCACTATCCTTTTGCTGTGTCCCTCTTCTAGCGGTTAAAATTATGCTGCTGGCAAGCAAAAGTAGCGACTAACAGTACTCACTCCCAACCCCAGTACTTATTGAGCGCTTCAAGATAACGTGTTATTGGTCTTAAGCAGGCAGGTAGTACAAGACTAACCATTGCTGGGAGCAGCCGCTGGAAAGATGCCCAACCATGATCTCTACCGAGCGATTACCGAATAATACACAACTTAAGTACAGGCGCAGCACCATCAAAGAGAGCTCAGCCTCAGACCAAGCCACCAGATGCCACGCAGGCAGAAGGGTATCTTCAGCTAATGAGCCATAAGCCAAGGTAGTATAAACATGATCCATACAAGTCATGACCTTTTCAATGCTTTTCTCTATTTTCCTCGCGAATTTGACCCTCTTTGCAATGGACAATTACGTATAAGTTACTGCCTACAACAATCCTTGCTCCGAAATAAATGACAGCTGCTCATGGATATGGACCTCCCACCGTCAGAGGATATGCTTAAAAGCATCTTAGGCGTGCTAGAGAGCATTAATGAGAAACTAGCCGTACAAGATGAAAGATTCAAGAGCCTTGATGACTGCCTCAGGACAGCTGATGTAGAGAGAGCAATGAGCGTGTCAACCCGCTATAACTCTCTGTCAATCTCGAAACCGGGACTTGCGGCGGCCTCTTCTATCGATTCCATGGACCCCAATCCTTTTCATCGGCCCCCTCGCTTGGTCAGAAGCCTCTCGCGCGACACTGCCACTCGACCCCCTTCAATGGAGGCTGGACATGTCGATACGATTCCACACCATTCAACTGAAGCAACTGGAGCTCGTTACAAAGTTCCGGCCGTTTATGAATATACTAGTGAATTGGATCCCGAGCTAAAAGAGATGATTGATAAACACCTTGGCGACTGGTGGCGGATTCCTGCCGACAACAGAATACCCCTGAGGCTCTTTACGGGAACTAGCCCCGATCACGATCTCTGGGGTATGGATTTTGCCAATCATAGACAACAAATACTAAATGATATGCGCTTCTTGCGCGGATTCGACGAGAAAGTAAGGGCTCTCCCCGGTAATGACTTTCTCATCATCGATTACGATCAGAGGGACTTTGCCAGAATGTACAGGGTAGGGGAGCGAGCTATTGGAGCCGAGTTGGGGACCGGTCCTGAGAAGTCGTCGGTCGCTGCATGGTCATGGCTAATGTGAGCTCCAAATTGATCGCCATACCTAAGCAAAGTATTTGTCACAGAGACAGTGCTACATCGCTAACAATCGGCTAGCTTATATCAGGGTATGACTACTGGGGATAGTATTAATCTCCAGAGGAAAGACCAAAGCGACTCATCAACACAGCTTATCCCTTACTTCGAGCATGGCAATCCAAGCAGTAGCTTGTGGAGTCATATATCCAGCCACATGCAACTGAAATGTAGGGATACTACGACGAATCCTTACTTGGATTTGCGACTTGGCTTTCACACAACCTTTTATGAGATTCGAGAGACGACTAGTTCACAGATGAGGGAGCTTTGGAAATATGGCCCATTGTATGACCATCCCCTGGGCTGGAGCTTCCGAAAGAGTGCCTACACCGTAAGCTTTGGGACTCTCGGATCTAGTTCTTTCAACTAATGAAAGACAGTTATATACTCCTCGGTTGTCGGATGTTTCCGCAATGGAATCCAGTGGGCACAGTCACTCTATCAAGGGTTGGTCTGCACTCCTCCTTTCACCAGAAGGGTTTTTTAGCAAGGACAGTCTCAATATCCCAGCGAAGGCTTCTGTTCGCGAAAAGGCGCAGATCCTTGGAGAGTGGCTAGGCAAACTTACACCTCTCGGGTCCGAGATGGCGCTTATAAGTCAAGGGATGAGACGAATCAGTGATCGATGGGCGGAGTTCCAGTCTTTCTTCGACTTTATTCTTGATCATGGAGACTCCCTCATGCAGCCGTCGGAGCATGATAATCTGCTGTTTGACGATGGATCCTTTTCTAGGTCCAGACGATACTTTTGGGCCATAGACTGCTTGTCTGAATTGGAGCTAAGTATCACTGACAACATCGCTCAATGGGAGATGTACAGAGATGCTCGTATAAAGCCATTCGTTGACTCAGGACAGTTGCCGGCTCTTGACTATCGACATTATAACAATGCAGAGAAGTATTGCCACGTTTTAAAGAACCAACGTGAATACTTCCGACGCAAGCTGGATTCTACGAAGGCGTTGAGGGATGCTGTAAGTATTTACCCCTGTGTTTATACTGTCGTGCTAATCTGAGATGGGAGCTCTTTAATGCAAGTGCAGTCATTGAAAGCAGAGCTTCCACACGACTGGGAGAGAACGTCAAGATCTTGACTTTTGTCAGCATCCTTTTCCTTCCACTTAATTTCTGCACGGTGAGCTCTCGATTCACAAAAAAACCTTACCCTCAGAAGAATACAAAGGCTAGACTCTGTCGCGTCCAGCTGCTGTCAATGTTACTCCACCCCGGCAGGCCCGATACTGATCTCGTTCAGTCTCTCTGGAGTATCAACGACACGTTCTCAACGACAGCTTTTATTATCGTCATCGTCATCGTTGCCTTGACAACCTACGCCGTGGTCTTCAACGTCAACAGCCTCGTCCATACCTTCAGCTTCGTCTACGACACTAAGAAACGAAGACTCGTCAACGCCATGAAATCAGACCCAGACGAAGGATGGAAGCAGCGAGGCCAGCGTTTCGAAGTCTTCCGACCAAAACATGAAGACACAAAGCCTTCCGAGTGGTACATCACCCTTTATGCAATACTAAATCTGGCAACCTTCTTAGGGCTCGGACGGCGAGATCGGCGCCGCGAAAATCGGGCCCTCGAAGACAGCAGTTTGCAGTCTTCCAGCTTTCACTTCTCCCGTATCACCAATTACTTCACGAGACGGAGGGTAGCCAGGAAGCCTGAACTGCCAGGGGATTCGTGGCGGCAGGATGAGCCCTGGGTTTTGTTACCAATCTACAAGCCTCGTAGGCAGCATGTTACGCAATGACTACTCAGCCAAGTCTGGCAGCTAAATTTCAGTTTACATCCCCTTGTTTTTACTACCTAAGAAATCTACAACCGTCGTCGCCTGGAGCTTAGTATCGAGTTCCGTAGGCAACAACCGCTTCGCCATTATCTGTCCTAAACTCATTATACCCTAATTACTACCCTATCCTTCACGTCTCCTACTTCTCATGTGGTGAACGTCTCACGAGCGCCGTTGGTTCTTTCCTCGTCCATTGGATTCTCACAAACGCCGTCCCACCACCTTCCCCACCTGTATACCCCTACTTCTTGCACCCCTGTACATCTTAACATGCTTCACACCCTGCTCCTCCGCCATAGGCCTGACTTGGAACCTACTCCCCAGCATTCTGCTCCAAGGAAACCCGGACACTCGCCCTATTGCTTCGGCGATGGGGGACAACGAAACATCTGCACGACCATAAGAATCTGCAGAACACTGTCTGAGAGCCCATTCAAAGATTGAGGTCCCGGAGACTCACCTGGGGGGATCTAATGGCTGGGTAACATCGGACACAATCCGGCGGGAACTAAATGGGTATCATGATAGGCGAAGAGTACTGTGTGTTAGCGACCTTGGAGCTCATCGAGGATCATCCAAAGCCTTTCAGGGGCCAACTGTGTAGTAGCGCCATGCATATGGACTTGGATGAATGATGCCAAGACAGATTGTGGTGTTGATTCTTTATAAGGAAATGTCCCCGAATCAGTGACACAGGGGATACTACAATTCTGTCTTTTGTTTGTTGTTTTCGCGTTAATCGAACTTATAGTGTCTGATACACATAGTGTTATTGTTTTCCTTTTTACGATTCTTTGCCAATTATTTTTTTCGTTTATTAAACTGTAAAGGAAATACGTAACAAATATATACAACTCTCTACAACATTATACATCCAGACAAGCGGATACATTCCGATCAAACATATTGTCTCCCAGCCAACTGTCTAAAGCCAACTGCCACTCTACAGCAATTACAGCACAAAAGTAAAGGGAATAAAATGCAACGCTTTCATCAAGGCTTGGATAATCAGCTATCAAAACTCTAAGGTGCACCTATCATCTAGTATGGCTTTTGTCCAATAATATTGCCTTGGGGGGAATACCGAGCCACGACGTAAACACTGCCGTTCGAAGCCCTCGCCAAAGCCATGCCAAGCTTCCTGGTACTGCGCCACATGCACTGTGCTGTTATATAATCAGCCATTCTGGTCGTTCAATTGCCTCTTTCCACTCACTATAATGTCCATACGAGCCAAAGTTGCCTTCAGGAATCTTCTGCCCGTGATAGCTACTCCGTTCATTGATCCATGCTTGAGCAGCAGCTTGGAGCGGGTTTCCGCTGGATGAAGCCCAGTAAAGGTTCTCTCCCTGACCCGAGCCGGAAGAATGCTGCAGTTTGCCCTCCCGAGCGATTCGCTCTGCCCACTGATGAGCATCGCGAGCGAGGCCTTCGTCCCACTGCAACGGTTGGAGGTGTTGGGTAGCACGAGCACGATTGTGTATCTCGAGGGCCTGTTTTTGATTGTCGTTCAAAGCCATGCTCGGTTGCGGTTGCGGTTGTGGATGCTGATGGTTCTTATTGCAAGGATAGTGTAAGTATTGTTGGTTGGGCAATTTGTGGTGATCGGACTGTTTTGTGATTGAGTTTTCTTGAATGCTGTTTGCAGACCTTTATATCATTCATCCTGGGCTATGTCACTTCACATGCTCTGTATGAAGTGGCAGTGCACATGTCAGATTCTGTTCCCTATACGGCTGGAGAATCCTCCATGTATGAGCCCTCCAGCCTAGGCTTAGAAGACGTGTTCATTGTCTGTACGAGATGACCAATAGTGTATTTGTGGCTCACGGTTCATGGCTCAGGTGCCTAGTCATCCACAGTAGATAAAGGCTTTGGTCCGTGAGTCTGCAACGTTACTAAGGAGGCGAAGTACGATCCAAGGCCTGCTGTAGAGCAGTACGAGCTCAATGCCTGATTTAGGTGTATGTAGCGCGTAGGAATCCAAATACTTCGGATGGAATAACTCCCGCAGGCGCCAAGGCCCCACACTGCCAACAGTGTACTAATATATTACGTAATGACCTGGAGTAAGATTTTAGCCCCGCCCCACTGGCAGTGGAATCGATCGCGAATTAAATTTAGATGGTCTTAGATCCGCCTTGGCATCAACCACAACTTCCGTCACTGACGTCTGCAGTGAGTAATCAACGTCAACGTACAGTAGTAGTTGGGTCTCTATGTCATGATGGATGTCCTCGACTGAATTGAGAACTTCTGGCTCTATGCCTCACATCCTTCGCATTCGGATAATCTTAGTCTATCATCCTGAGTTATATGAGCAAATATGCTTTGTAATGTTAATTCAAGAACTGGACAGGTCGGAAGAACTTGGTGGCAGTAAGATCTTCAAAGGTTGATGCCCGACAACGCTTCAGAAACAGTTCATTCATCTTGAATACTTACCACGATCTCTAAATTTATGAACAGACTTTACGAGCACCAAGTAATACGCTCATGCTTGCTATTCTGACAAAACAGACGATTCGGAATGGCGCAACGACAGAACATTATCATTACACGCTCGAGATAGGCTGAGCATTCCACCCCTCATTGGTGGTTCTGTGGCCAACAAAAATGTTCATGAGCATTGGCCTATTTGAAAGGCAGGAGCGTCATGCTTAGGAACCTAGTTAAGGATTAAGTAGCATTTGTCCAATACCCGGACACACTTGAAATGGACCGATAGCAAGGAGATGTAAGATTCAATGCACTATCCTTAAACGCCTATAACCAATGCAGCGCTTCCCAGCAACTTCCATCCGCCCAAATACGAGAAATGTCTCAAGTTCGGTACAACTCGTCCTGGGCATGCCTTCACATCCCTTTCCAAGAATGACCCATCAGTCTGTTTGCGGTTTTCTGCACATAATCCGCTGTTGCACCCACAGGGTCGTTTAAGTCCTTCTCGTTCACAGATCCTGAATTATAAGCTCTAAAAGCTGTATAATAGTTTCCATGCTTGGCTCTCAGCTGCTTCAATCCAGGTCCACTTTTTGTACCCTCTGTCCCATCCCTGACCATCTGCAAAATGCTAGCAGCGGGCTTCGCAGGATCAAACTCGACCCCGTTATGTGACTGCATGATCCCTGGGTTCCGGACCCCGTTGTTTGTCGTTCGAACACGCACATTGCCTCCCGACTCCTGCATGATGATGCAAAGAATAACGCGCACATCGACCCCTGATTCTGAAGCGACTTTCTCAATTGCCTGGTGAATCTGAGCGACCTCGCTGTCCGAGTCGTTGAGCTTCATTAGACGATAGTTTTGCTTCCAGAGGAAGTCATAAGTCGCCCATTGCGATGGATTGGGGAAATTTGACGCTGGACCGCCATAGTTCACATAGTTCCCACCGCCGTTGGTACCACCGTGCGATCCTGGGATGCCTTTTGCTGGATTCTGCGGACCGCCTTGATTGCCTCCATTGTTGCTCTTGCTAGGAAGTTTGATAACCTGGCCTAGCTGGAGTTTCTTGGGGTCAAGGCCAGGGTTGGCGGCTTCGAGCTGTTCCAAGGAGATGTTGGATTTCTTTGCGATTTCAAAAAGGGTATCACCCTGCTTGATCGTGTAAGTGGACATTGTGATTTTGGAGACAATTGCTTAGTCAGAAAAGAAGGGAAATAATGTCTGATCGAGAGAGAATTTGTTCTTGATTGAGATATGATACAACATTTTTGATAGCACCGCAGAGGTGCCAGCTTTATATCGCTTTGTTCTCTAAATCAGGCACTCCTACTATTTCTGTTTGCATAGTCACGCAGCTTACATTAGTTGTCAGATTAGCAAAAAGGAAGCATCAGCCACGATCCTGCTCTCGGTGGGATCGAAGAACTCTGTGCAGAACGTACTCAGCCATGTGTGTGTGGTAATGCTGCCCGGAACCAACCTGTACCGCATGGTTGCACAGAAGAGTGGGGCGGTGTATATACACATGCTACAATCGCCTCTTCCTAAAGGATCGTGTATTCTAACTATAGTTAACATGATTCTCTCGCTGACTTCAAGTCATTAATTATTCCTAAGCAAATTTTCGGCCCTGACAAAATCACCGCGTCGCATACCGCCGAGATTTTTCCTCGTAGACCCATCTTTTGTGTTGATTTCCTCTTTAGGAAAGAGGCTTGTGCAGTTGACGTTGTCTTAATCGGTCTGAATGACTGGTCGGCCTTTGTTTTGGCTCTTTTACATCACGTGGCACGTATTCTCGATGTAGAAGCGTTATGTTGCAGGCTTTCCATCCGTAACTTTCAAAAGGAACAAATCCATAATCTTACGGCCTCATGCTCACCTAGCAGCGAGTAATTCGTAGAGATGTTTTCTCCGTGATTTGCAAAGGACTTACTTCAATACCAATAAACGGAGGTCAACATATTCTCAGCAGCTTTTAAATAATGCTCTTGATAAGATGTGATACTCAAACAAACAATTGTGCTAGATATTCGACTGCTCCAAATAGTACAACAAACATAAATCAACGATGCATCGGCTGATCACTCATGTACTTCCACATCAAATCCGTGAAACTGCCGTCTGGCTTCATGAGCTGGGCAGCCGGGCTTACAAAACTATCCGCCACCTGTCTCATGCACCCAAAGAGTGCGTACTCGTAGATCCAATCCTTCTGATCCATCCAGTTGACGACCTGCACCGTGAAGCCTAGCACCTCGTTGTAATCGCGGGAGATGGATGCAAATTCGGAAAGGATGACGGGCGTATGGGGATGCCTATTATGCATCGACTGAAGATAGTCTATCGCCTTGGTTCCATCCGTTCCATAGTAATGCAAGCCGAGGAAATCAGGCGGGTGCTTGCTCACGAGACCCATCCACTTGTGGATCCAGTCTTGGCCTGCTTTATCGGAAGCACATGAAGGACTGACGAGTTTCTTGCCGTGTTTCGCCCGGAGAGGCAGCATCTTCTTCTGCCATATATCCCCAGCGCGCTCAGGGGTAATGCCTGCGCGCTCGGGTTCGTTGAAGAAGTGGATGATGTTTTCCTTGGTCGACTGGATCCGGTTCCAGTCCTCGCCGTTGAGTTGCGCTTCTGTGCGCACCATAGGTCGGAATGGGGCACGGCCTTTCAGTTCTGGAGGTGTCCACGTGTTCCAGTTGCTGACGGAGCGTAGAGGTCCTTTGAAGGACACTTTGTCCATTGCCCATGGTACGCCCTTGTGGCCAGCGCCGTCGGTGTTCGTCCAGTCCCAGGGGAGACATCGCTTCTTGATTGCCATTGTGGAAATGGGGAGGATGGTGCAATCTAAGTCTTGTGATTTTGAGAGATAAGTGATGTGAAAAGGATAAGGCAAGTTTATGTCAGAAAACAATGGTCTTATTGAAGACGAGACTGATATTTACTTGAAACAGTATCGGGGAAGGTTTTTTTTCTTCCCGCAGGACTTTATAAACAAGCACTACTTTGCCAACCTCAGTTTCATAAATGGCAGAGTAGGCTCAGATGCTGTATATTTAGTAATCAAGAAGCCATGGTCATGGTACTTCAATGAAAGTATGGTGTCATGGCGGTCTGATTGCGACAGCATTCCGTGCCCACTGGCGCAGTAGCAGCAGAGGGACATCAGCTGATTGCGGATCAGGCCAGAAGCGAAAGGATCTATGGGTGTCGCGCTCCATCTCATAGAGGCCGAGGGAGGTTGCATAGCCTACAACTTGAAGGATTCGCGCCGATGATCCAGAAAATGGCCCAGATAATTAGTGTGACAATGTCTAGCCTAATCTGGACTAGTGGACACATCGGTTTTCAGCCGTCATCTTCCGTGTTTTTGGTTCTCCATAAGCCGGATCCCTTCAACCACTCCCATGGAACTCTGCCGCGGCCCATTGCTATCGCCCCATTCCTAAGATGCAAAGCCTTGCTATTATTGAAACATGATGCTGCCTTTTACTACCACGTGGCGATGTGAAATGTCGTGCATCATCTTGAGCTAAAATCGTTGAGAAAAATGCGTTGCTGCTGTTCTAATCCTCTGGCCGTTGTGCTAAGATGCAAATCCCGCTGAGCACGAGCTGGACACTATTTACGTTTGACGTAAGGCAACATAAGATGACAAGTATACACTATGTCAGTATCCGCAGCTCGTACTGCCAATCCTAGGCTTTCAGCGCCAATGGTCTCCCTTTCGAAAGCTCTTCCTCCGTTGGAACCTATCCATCATCTACTATTTTAATTCCTGTTGCGTCAGCCATCATGGTGGTTTGGATCAGGGATCGTATTCTCCCTAGGAGAGACTCCCTAGAGACATGGAAGAGATGATTGCGCAAACTCTCCTCAGGGTTACTTGACTACTCTCCCTGCGATGGATTCTCGTGAGAGGCGCAAGAGATGATGATGTAACCCACCACTAGAGTCATCATTACGGGTCTGTGGGCTATGCCTACCTATGGCCAGACAACATCAGCCCTTTGAGCCTATACAGCGTCCACCTTTTGAGGCGCAAGTTCTGGTTGCCGAGCATGCGTTCAGGGTGAGGAACATATATAAATCTACAGCTTCCACCATCTTCCACTACGTAGTTCTGCTTCAGTATCTTTTTTCAACACTCAGCAACCAATTCCAAACCAATCCTGGTATTACTGAAACAGAATGTCTCGCAACATCTTTGTCCACAACAAATCTTCTCATCCACAAACTTTCGAAGTCCATGGGTGGAACAATAACAAAAACATCGTCGTGAAGCCTCGCTCGACGCACACGATCAAGGCCCCCAATGGGTCTTCTGGAGCAATCATCGCCTTGCATGATGGCCACGAGGGTGAACAAGCCGAAATCACCAAAAATGGCTTTGGCGGTAAGTTGATGCCTCTGCGCTTCGTTCCCCTCCTCGTGCAGCTGCTAGAGACACCAAATCGGTGACGCTAAACTTCCCTCTTCGTCCGAACAGGTAATGACTTCTTCGATCTCAGCAATATCGTTGGTGCCGGCGGCAACATGACTGTCCAGCAAGTCGGTGAGCCTGAAACCCTCAAAGGGGATCCCTTATTCATGCAGCACCTCAACGATGCTTTCCGCAAGGCTTCAAAAGAGACCAAAGACAAGTGTAGAGGGGCCCTTCACTTTGATAAAAAGGGGGCTATCATTCGGCTTGAACCTATCAAGTTCCATCCGGAGATCGAGCCGCTGATTCGTACATTTGCCGACGGCAAGACTTATATTGGTGTCGGAGCGTGGAATGGCAGTCCTGGGCATAAGAGTGATAACGAACAGGTGGGCTCTCATCCTTCCTGCTCAAGGTGTCACAATACTAATACTGGACTTAGAGCAAAGCAGGGCGTGGCAATAAGGATATCATCGTCACTTCCAATGACGGTGACGCCAGTCCAGATAAACGATATGGACGTCAAGGGGCCAAATTCGTCGCGCAAGGACTTGTTGGTTCGTTCGAATCCAGCGCCAGTACGGGCAACGAAGGTGAGACAGGCGCCGATCAACAAGAAGATGCCGATGGTAGTGTAGAAGCCAATGTCAACGCGGAAGCTAATGGCGAAGACGACACCGCCGGCACTGTAGATGCTGAAGACGTCCGTACTAACGAAGACATCACCGGCCCAGCAAGCTTATCTCAACGCACCCTCCTCGCTTCAGCAGCAGCAACACCAATTCACCCCACAAAAGGCGACCCTGATGACGGCAAAAAACCCGGCATAATCCTCCACAACCGCTCTAACCACGCCGACACCTACTTCTTTTTCGACAACTACTGGAACGGCAACGGCACCGCTGGAGCCAACTTCGACAAACCTCTCAAAGCCGTCTCCGTACCCGCCGGAAAAAAGGCTTTCGCTAGCCTCCCCCTCACATTCAAAGGCCGTGTCCAACGCGGTCGCCTCATCCCGGCGACTTGGGTGGAATTTCAGCTCAAAGCCGCGAATGACGGCGCCGCTCACGGGGACGTCAGCATCCAGCAGGGGAATGATGGTCCAGCCACAATCTCCTCAACTGACGGCAGTCACCAACCAATTGGGGGCTTCAAGCAGCCACTCGTTCACAAAGCACCGCCAGCGGCGCGGGTCAAGAGGCCCGGGGATGGGGTGGAGGTCTTGGCGAGCACGATGGGGAATTGGATGGGTCCGCCAAACCAGGCGGCGATAGACTATCAGAGGCCATTAATCGGAAAGACGACATATGTGGTGGGTGGAACTGGTGTGCCGGATGTGGCGGCAAGGAATCATCGGTTCTCGGTGGATTTCTATTGATCTTGATTTGTGTTTGACATGGCCGTCTCAAGTTGGTGTAGTTTCTTCATCGTTCTCCTTGACACGTTGGTCATATTTCCTCTTTTGCACAGATTTAGGAGCTCCTGGAATGGAGCAGTCATCTGACATAGGTCTTGGAAATCCCGCCTCACTCGACTTTTCGCTTTCATAGTAAGACTGGTATATCAAGACCGCCGCTGTCCGCTAAACGTACCTGTCTGGATATTTCATCAGAAATATAATGTCGTCGCCATCATCACCACCAGGAGCGTTTTCTTTCTGTCCCCACGATTAAGCAGTCAAATTAATCTCAGTACCGAGTACACGTCAAAGAGACTGCCCATACAAATCTTACCAACAGGCTCATCTTCTCCTTTATTTCCTTCTTTCTGTCTTCCTTTCTTTCATCGTTCGTTCCTTTTTAACATGTCCAAGAACTTGGTCACGTATAGCCACCCAATTGATTTACCCCCAGATCAGAACTGACTATTCGGTTATGAGCCAAAAGTGGTATTGCTGCCTGTCCTGGCCAGGGTCCACGATCTAACATCTTTCCTGGTGGCTTCAATTAGGCACATAAAATGATCATGTTAGAGGAAAAACTCGGTTTTAGGATACAATTCATCCTCAATATGTCTACTGTCACTACGAGAATAACTCTATAGTTAACAGTCTGTGTACAAGCTTCCTGTTACAGCGTCTGAAGGCGTTTGAAAGGCACTGCGACATGTTAAAAGCTTGATATTACGACCACATACTCTACTGTTACCAAACGGAGTCGCGCCAAGGACTGAGTTATTGATTCAGTTGACGGTATAATATCCTTGGAGTGCGACTCATCTCTTCCTCTCCTGATGTCTGCTCACTCTCACCTCACTGGTGCTCGGTGCTAGTTTTGGTCCCTTATGATGATTAGATACCTGGCCCTATCCGTACCTCACATCTCATGAATTTCATCAACTCTACGCGATGCTCTACGATTTACAGTATTACGGTTGGAAGTAAAAGAGTTTGGAGTATTCACAATTGCAGTACTACAATTCAGCATACTACAACTTGCAGTATTACGGTTTGAAGTGAAAGAATTTGGAGTAGTCGCAATTATAGTATTACAATTTAGTCCAGCTTATTACAATTTGTACTACGGTATCAAGCAGAAGATTGTTAGCATGGTTCTAAGAATGACTAGTTTTAATACTTTATATTTTTCTTCACCCATTTTATCCGCGGCTATCTCTACGGCTACAACCGCTATACAGTCTTCTTTCGACGCAATTTCGTCTGGGAGGTTGTTTTGTTTCTCCTTTTCTCCATGGTCCTCTCGGCAATGCAACTTGGGGCGAGTCTACCTCCATTGAACACCAATGGCGTATTTCAGCAGGCATACCACGGCCTTGTGGTTTTCTCAGTAGCCATCGTGGCAGCAGTTGTGTCGCTTGGGGGAATGGTTTTTCTTTCAATCCTCTTGCTAAACATGGTGCGGGCGATTTCTCATGAAAAGCGAGCAAGACGACAGCGAGAAAAGACTGCGCAAGAGCAGAAGGAGATGAAAGAGGTATTGGGAAGCATCGTGGTGCCTGTAGGCCAGCTGGATCAATGTTGTACCTCTCTTGAGAATGTGCAGGCACTCATGTCGTCTTAGACTGGTCCGGGACCCGCGGTTCTGGCGGCATATGCTACAACAGATCCCCTGGGTTTCAGGTGGCTAGAATGTGTGGAGCCCAACACACAAGATATATCACAGCGTGGTCCGACCTGTGAAGAAAAGAGCTTTCCCGCACCTATATGGAATGGGTTCTCGCGACCTTCTAAACTGAGCGGAACTTCCCTGCGATGAGACTGTGCGTAGTCCCCACCATTGCCCCTCGTTCTGGAGGTGTCGTCTCCCGAGCCACTTCTACCACTTCGCTCCCTCCCTCAACCATCAGTGTGAATGGCTCTCCCCGTCCAGACCCCTCGTTCTTTTGGTACCGTGAAATATTAGCTCGCAAAGCCAAGAGGAACGACGGCGTGCATAGACCTTGACCGGGCGGTGATGGCAAGGAAATGGGAGATTAGGTCCAAGGAGGCCGAATGTGGATGCGCAGAGATGATCGAGAGTTTTGAACTTACGAAATGAATTTGAATCAACACAATAACAAAACTCACGGCTTCTCAAAATAGAGCCTGCCTGTGAAAACAACTGAAACATTCCCGAATATCTCCAAACTCGATCCACGCAAACTCCGTTTGCATTGCTGCTCTGTACTCCGGGCGTACTCTCTCCAGCGGTCTTCATTTATGTATACGATCAAATGACAAGATATCGTAGCGAGTGTAGGGCTAGCTTTTTTGGTGGCCGAGCACATAGAGCTCCTCAGACATTCCGAAATGACGGTACATATTGTACTGAAACCCTAGACGCCGGAGATGGACAGTTGCGATGTACTCCATGTCTTTGCCTTTCCCTATCGAAACATAAACAGACTTCTTATTTGCCCATCGGGGAAGAGCGACTTTCTCATGCGGGACTTCTGTTGAGAGAGCCAAGTCAGCAAATGCCGATTTGGAATTGTAGTTTTGATATGAGCTAAGCCTACGCTCTGCCTCCTCTTTCTCTAGAGTCGTCAATTTGTTGTTCGTTACATCGAGAACGGCGACTCTCTCGTTTTGCTTTTTCAGCGGCCAACTATCTGTTCGCTTATGTTGCAGGGTTGGCGACCGTGGTGTTGCCATAGGAACGACGCAAACGGCCAGGAAGAAGAAGAAGATACAGACTTGTGTAGATGGTAACCAGACGGTAATTAGATGGTAATCAGAGGGCAAGATGGTGGCAAAGTAATACGTAGAACAGTAAGAACTGGATTTGGGTAGAAATCGAGCGCGAGAAAGGAAGGGCCCAGCCATTCATAGTGGAACGGGGTCGCATGATTCTGCACTGCCTCAGGGACTCCGAGTCACCCCCCAGTTGCTTCGCCCCGAGGCAGCCTTTCATGCGAAAGCGCACCCGACCTCTTGGCGACTTTGGGATTAGTTGGCAATTTCAGAACTTAGACGGTTGGTCACGTGTGAGACCGCCATCATTTATTACTCCGTTTTATTGTCTGATGAGTCGCTTCTGCACCGCATTTGTCCTGAAGGCGTTTTTAGTGGTTTGAGAGTGGCGCATTCATTTGGACCCTGTGCGCCATGGATGGACTTCTTTAATTATTATTAGGCACATCACTCGGACATACGAGACCCATCGAAATTCAAGGACGACGAATCAACTCTCCACTTCAGACCCACCAACATAGCCATTCAGAAAGAGAAAATTCTGATGATTGTTAAGTACGCGCGTTTTCGACTGACGGGGAAGTGGTCTTCTGTATGTAGGCGAGGCTACGCAATAATAATTACTCTGGGGAGGGCCTGAAGTAATGTTAGCTCAGCGCTAGTATCTTTACTTGTAAACCCTCTCTGTACAGAACAGCTATGTTCCAAAGAAGTTAGATGTAATGATTTGACTCATCAGAATGGATGCACACAGAAGAAGCTTTAAAGTGGCCAATCATAACACTAGGTTGTTGTGAGAAGAACTAGTAGCTGTTCTTAGCACGTTCTGAGCATCAGACTTAACGGTACTTCAGGGGCCCCGTAGTGGATAATTAGCCTACTTGCCTTCTCCGCCCCCAGAACCACCAACGAATCTACCACCATGGCCTATCACACGGCTCTCTGGCCCTCCAGCCCGCCTCCCCGGCCGGGCCATAGTTAATGACCACCCAAAGTACCGTTTGCCCCACTCTGTCCCAATACAACGCTTTGCTCGGCTTTCTTCAAGGCTTGTTCTGGAGAAAGTATGCGGAAACTGAAAAGGCGAAGCGGCAGAGCCTCGTTCCTTGTTGTATCGGCCCCAGGTCGAGGGCTTGTGGGATCTCTCGTGATCAGCCGCAGCTCCTCGCCCATGACAGAGCCTGTTTCAGTACTTATCTTCGGCGAGGCTACTCTGTCTAATATAACGTCAATGGAACTCACTGTTGTGGCCTGTGGCCTGTGTCCTTGCACACGGCAATTGCCTACAACTGTCCACGAGATAACCATCTTCACCATCATATATTTCAAGTCGCACGATCGCGCCTCTCGCACATGGCAATTCAGGTAAACGCACATGAATTCCAACGGATTGGGGCTTCTGAGACGTGCGATGCAAGTACACGTCAAACAGTACAATCGGCTGGAGAAGTAATGAACGATCGCCCTGCTCCGTACAATGGCCAAGGAGATCCCGACAGCCAGCCTGGCGACGACTCTCAACCTGAATCTGTGCAACGCACGCGAGCCACGTCAAATCCAAATGGTCCTCTCCGCTGTTATGCTCATGTGTCCGATGAAGACCCCCAGAGTCCGTGGGCGGAGAAGACCGTACTTGCACTGGGTGGGTTGCCTTCTTTGGTCGATTAACTTTCATCACCGCTGACTCCTAGGATGTCACTAGATGGCGGCGGCATTCGTGGCTACTCTAGTCTATTGATCCTTCAGCATCTTATGTCCAAGATTGAAGACTTAGAGAAAAACTGGACTGGGGAAGAAGGTCCAGTTGAATCGAGCTTTGAATATCCTTGGAGAGAGAAGGAACCTTCGAAGTCAGGCTTTATACCCTCCACCAATCAATTTTATCCATGCCACTATTTTGACTACATAGCAGGGACTAGTACTGGAGGGTAACGTACTTATGATATCGTTTCATGATCTTGGCACTAATAGTTGGCAGGCTTTCTGCGATCATGCTTAGTAGACTGCGTATGTCTATAGATGAGGCTTTGACCCAGTATACCGAATTTGGCAATTCCGTCTTCGGGCAGCCACGATGGTTTCATGAGCGCTCATTGTCTTATCTTCCAAGGGCGAAGTATCCATCACGAAAAGTGCGAGGCGCAATACTCAGATTGATTCACGAGAGGCTTCTCCTGAAAATTTACAACGCAGGGAAATGGCAAGCTCAGCACGAGAGTTTCGCCTCTCGAGACGATCAGTCGAGAACGTAAGATGTCCTATGCAAACTGAAGGATCCACACTAGACGCTAACCAAGGCCAGCATGGCTGTTTCGTTCTCCAAAGACCCAGAAGAGGGCATTGATCAGTTTTACCTATTTAGATCGTACTCTCATAATAAAGGTTCCGCTACGTCAGAGCACAGGTTTCGCCCTATGAATCCAGGACCGGCTCATAGTGGACCACTTTGGGAAGTTGCCAGAGCTACATCTGCAGCCCCAACTTATTTCGAAGCTATTACATTCATGAATCGAAAATTTTTAGATGGGGGATTGGGTGCCAACAACCCAGGAAGAATTGCCTTACAGGAGGTCTGCCAAATGCACGCACCGCACCGGCCCGCACTACTCGTCAGTGTAGGCACAGGAGTGAAAAGGGACAATCGAGCCAAAGAAAAGCCGAAGAAGCGTGATCAAGCTCGCGATCTATTTAAAATCGATCGACCAGACAAAGTCCCTCGCAAACAAGGCTTGCAAAAGTTGATGGAGCTCACTCATTTCATGAAAGATTTCACCACTGACACAGAAGTGACGGAAAACGACCTCAATTTCACCGCCCACGAAATGCAGGTTCCTTACAGGAGGCTTAATGTATCAAATGACCTTGCCACTTGTATTCCTCTTGATGACTGGCGTCCGGCCCAATCCGGTCAGATCACTCTTAATGCGATCAAAGACTACACCAACGAGTACCTGAAGCTCCAAACGACACAAGAAGACCTTACTTACTGTGCACAAGTGCTCGTTGCCCGCCGACGAAGGCGAGCCATAACCGAGCGATGGGAATGGTTCGCAACCGATATCAAGTACCACTGTCAGGCAGAGGGCTGCCTTGGCAGCCCTCTGTCGCAGTACAAGAAAAGAGGAGAGCTCCGGAAACACCTCAAGCGCAGCCACTCTCATGAACTGACCCTGGATCCGGATGACCTTGAAGCTCGCCTTGATGACGGGCGTATCCTGACAGAACCTAAAAAAAAGGAGACCGAGAATGGAGCAGAGAAATCCAACCACGCCCCGCAAACAAAGCTGACTAATGGACACTCGAATGCAAATCCGTGATAACCGACAGGCAGCACATGAGGCCGGAGTCTGGGTCGGGTCTGGTAAGGCCGGTGGGACTGAATCGGCATTATGCATTCTTCTGCGTGTTTGACCTGCTAATATACCACCTGCACCTACGAATTTTTTGTATTACTATCGCGCTTCATTTCTCCGCTGTTGTATATCTCTCGGTTGCACTGGACATGTTTTTTGCACTTTCATACTTTTCACCTGTTAATATTTATGCTTAACATAAAATGGATGCATAGATGGATGCATGTCCTCACTACTCCCGGAGAATCTAAGTTTAGAAGGCGTTACTTATAGATAACCTTTGGTCTCCCACGATATAATGAAAGTCAAAAAGCGATCACAAAGACTGCCGAAAACAGCAGCTGATGTCTTGAAATCTAGGGTTAGTGTGTAGTGAATATCATGATAATAATATTCAGATTCACTAGTCACTAATAGCTTCAAGGATCACATAGTAGTAGCGTAGGCGGCAAAGTTAGGTGAGACAGATCGAAGGGCAAGTGTGCACAAGTGATAAGGGCCGGAGAGTAAACCCTGAAAGGAACCAGGCTTTCCGAGCTGGGAGAGTAGCCCAGAATCTGGCCGCCATAAGGAGCTTAGAGGAATTCAGTCGAGGTTCAGGGCTGCTCCGGCTCAGAACAATCTTGTACAACCACAGCTCAGGGCTGCTTATTCATCACTCAGGTTACAGTCATGTGTGCTCAGGTCTCAAAGTGGAAATGGAGTTTGGAGAGGTTAAGATTGGTGTGTGAGTATAGTGGCATGAGCTCAAAAACCAGGAGCCAGAAAGTTTCGGGCCTCTTCTGAAGTAGTATTATAATGATATGGAGGGTGCTCATTCGATTCTTTGGGCTGTTTGCCGCTTCTGTGCGATGTGAAGGCATATTCAGCCATTTAGTGTGACTCTCAAAGCCGGATAAGAGCCAGAGTTAATTTTGGCTCTTTTCTGACTTGCGCTTATGACGCCTTTTCCTGGTGTATTTTCACGTCAGTCTCTTCTTATTTCCTGCTAGATGACATGATCTTTTGTTGAATTCGGATCCATGGGGTAATAGATTTTGGCTGTGTGATGAGGATGAAATTATTTGGTTGCAACCTAATCCGCGAGATTATAAAAGGTGGATGGCACAAGAGTCTGTCGTAGGTTGGAAGGCCTCCGAGCCCTATGAGCTTTGTAAGGACGTCCGAGGCTCACCGAGAGGGCCTGGATCTGCTGATTGCCTCCGAGCGGAAACGTTCTAGTCAACACAGCCAATGGCCTCCGGGAAAACGAAACTGGGAGACTTGATTTTCCGAATACGGAGAGGCCGCTGATGACAGAAGGTAAACTAGTGCTTCGAACGTTTCGAGGAGTCCCTTGTTGGGGAATGCCTCAGCCGACTGTCCTGAGGTGGAGATATCCCCTCCGTACCCGAACAGGGGTGTAGAATGCCTCAATTAGCGCTGTCGATCACTGCAGAGGGGGTCCAAATTGTCAACAAACACCCTATTTGAGCGAATTGAGGCCGTATTAATCTAGCAATTGACTCCAATTGAGTGGTGATACTGTACCCAGCAGTCTCCTTCGATACATATCTAAACTTGGCATTTTGAGCACTCATAATGGGTCTTTGAGCCTCCTAAAATAGCGCTAGAAATGCCATTATTGACTGACTTCGTGAGATCCGTTCCAAATGCGCGTTTAGGTGCCCTTTTACGTGTACAACCTGGCGGATGAAGCTTTCCCCATTGGCACCGTCCGTAGGACTTCTTTTGTATGTGTTTATGGTGTCTTTGAAGTATTATAGTTGGTAATGAGTGTGAATTCTTCTCCTTAGTTTTATTATCTGAATGTAGTAATTAAGAACAGAGGGCCTCCACAAAATCTCTATAAGTGTTGTGCGTTTATTTAGCGCTTGTTATATATGTTTTAGAGCTCTATAGCTATAGCAAATACGTATTAACACGCGTAATATTAATAAGGAAGTAGATTAAGGGTTATTATGTATAATAATTCTGCTTATAATAGCATGTAAATACTATATATAGCTAATTAGCTTGATCTACACCCTTTATATAATAATTATAATTATTAATAGCCTTTAGTATAAAGAGATCCTTAAAAGGTAAGCCCTTAAATACCAGGTTAAGGATACATTAATTTCTAGAGGAGATTTTAGGGCATTTATGTATTTATTAAATTTGATCTTTTATATAGTAAAGGCTATAAGCAGTTGTAAGAGCACAAACAGCCTTATTATCTTACTAAATAAAGACTAGAGTATTGTTATCAATAACTTATACTATTATAGAATCCTAAAGAAGCTTACTATTATTATTAAGATAACGTTAAAGTTATAAGGGCACACTAGCAGCCTTTTTTCATATAGTTCTTATATAGTAAATATCTATTATTAAAAGGTATTAAGCTACTAATATATTTAGAAAGAGGTTATCTAGATAGATACAGAAATTCTGCTTTAGCAGCTGCATAGTAAGGTATAAAATAAGCGCGTAAGTTAGTATAAGAAGAGCGCTTTTTTTAGTATCTAAATTTGCTCTTATGCTCTATTACTGTAGTTATTATATTTATTAACTCTTTATAAATATTTTAACGCCATCTATTCTTAAATAGAATAATTA